GCAACCATATGTAAGAATGGGGAGAACGACCGTCACATGCAGCCAGTGTACCAGAAGCCACAGAAGGGGAGCTCTCGTATGCTCAGGTATCCCTTTAGCTTACGAGAGCAAAATGGATGGTCTTTAGCTTCTCATTGTTGAAAGCTCCCTCAATATAGAGGCACGCTGCCAAGGTGTAGCCAGAGGACTCCATATTCTTCTCAATGCGTCCAACCAACTCATGTAAGGCCGTATCCACCTTTCTAAAGTCTTGAGTAGAAAGGAAGAGAGGCTAATCGGTCCATAGTCCTTTGGTAGCGTATGACTCGGCTTCCCGGCTTTCGGGATGAAGGTCACTCTCTTTCCATGGACTAGGTATGTACGAAAAAAGTATACAAGCCCTAAACATGTCTTGCAGAGGGGCTAGAAGAAGATCAAGAGTCTCACTACGAGAGTTTGTCCACGTTCCGTTTAGCCTTCTTGATTTCACTCTTGTACCTATTAAACTGTTCTCTATAAACATCCCAATCTGTACTGAGTTTTGTCTTACTAGTTCTATTGTATGCTTTTCTTCAGCCTTCCTCAAGACCACCATACTTGCTGAAATCTTTTCCCGGGGTATGTTAGTGGACAAGAAGCCTCATAGCTCTTCAGAAGAATGACCGTGACATTGTTCACAGCTTCCTCAACATCCTCAACCGTTATGAGATCTTTATGACCCAGGACTGAGGCTGCTGTTTCGGCTTTGAATTTGTCCCAGTTTGTCTTCCGAGGATTCCTATAAGGCTTCTGTTAATCTCTGGAGGCAGGAATCTGGAAAAATATCAGTCCATAGTCCGAAAAGTAGCATTTCTCAGATACTTCCCAGTTCATAACCCCAGAGTCGTCCATTTTAGTGAGGGTTATGTCGATGACTTCACCTCTTAACGAACGTTGGTGTATTGCCCATATTAGATATTCTAAGATTATAACTAAGTATAAAATAAAAAATGGACTCACCTCTCGTATTGGCGAGGATTCTCCACCTCCTGATGTGAAGGCCGTCGTGTGATGGTTAGGGTTGCACGGCAAATAGCAAGCCAGCAGGAACTGTCTACTCAACAACACATTATGTAGCATGACTAACAAAATCCTGATCTCTTCATGGAGGTTGCAATTCTGAGTACATTCGTTTGTAATGTTTTCAAAGATCTCCACTATGTGTAGGTTCCAGAATAAGGCTGCATAATTAAGGATGAAAATACCGGTGGTCTAATATGTCGTTACCAATGTTTACTTGTCTTTGTCCCAGGAGGAGGACTGCCAGAGCCTTTAGAACTTTGTTCCAAGCCTTCACAGAAAATTTCAGGATTTTGGTCAGATAACCCTGCGCTGTTGCACCAAACTTCATGAACTTTCTAACATTGCTGGGCTCGAGACATAATATTTGTTCGATTCAAAATTAAATAAGAAAAAATAACCGCCTCAAATGAAGTAAAAGTTCCGATATTTTGTGATAAAAAAAATTAATGATATGTGATTTTGGAAAGGACGATAATTTAAGATTTTTTTAAAGCTGGTAATATTACTTCGTAGAATGAAACAAAATTCAAATTTATTTTTGAAATGTTTGTCTTCTTTTGTGTTTTTTTATTTATTCTTTTCTCATATACAAAAACGATTTATTTATAATTTCTTTTTTTAAAAATTGTCTTCATGCTTCTTTTTCTTCTTTTTCGCTGTTATTATAAAATAATGCCTTTGTTCTTTGTGTTATTGTTGTTAATTATTACAATATATTTACTCTACAATGTATGTATTTATATAAATAATGAATTACATTAAGTATTACAAATTAACTATGGATAGGAAAAAAACACAACATATTTATTTATTTGTTTTTTATGCAAAAAACAAAAATTATTTCGTTTTTTTATATTTCCTTTTTTCGTTAAAAGCTATAAATTGCAATGTCTAAAAATTGTGTTTTCTAACAATAATAGTTAACAAAAAATAAAAAGAAAATTACATGTCTAAACAAAAAGAAAATTATTATTATTTAATTTTATAACTACATTAATTTATAGGAGGAAAAAGGAGGGAGTGTTTGCTGCAAGTTGACATTAAGAAAAAAAAAAATAACAGTCTAAAATATTAAGGTTTTTTAAAATTATTTTTCGTTTTTTTTTCTATTTATTTTTGTTTAAAATAATTCTAACAACATAAAATCACAAGCTTTTTATTTGAATAGGAAAAAATTTCTGTGTGTGAGTGTATGTATGCATGTATATGTGTAAAATGAAACCCAAAATATTGGTGGTTCGGATATAGTATAGTGTGGATATGTATCCCAATGGTTAACAGATATATGGTATACGTTTTTAATTATAACCAAAAAAATTAATTAAAAATCAACTAATCAAATTTTCGGACATCTTTTTTAAAAATCACGCAATATTTTGATATAATCTTTTATATTTATTTTTTTTTTAATTTTTTTAACAGATCATAATTGGACTTAATCCTGATTTATTACAGGCTATTATAATTACCTCTGCCAGGAATTTCTGGCAAATATACTGCAATATGTCTAAAATAATTGAAAAAATGTCCGACTCAAAATTATAGCTGGAAATGTTTTAAGGTCAGTGTTATAATGCTGCAAAGAAGACTGTCAATGTGGTAAACATGCATTCCGAAGGGGTTTAATATCTGAGCCAAAAGATCGATAAAGAAAAAAAATGTTATTTTCGATGTTATGGGTGATATATTCGAACTTATAAATATTTACGGTAAATTTGCCATAACATTGAGGAAAAATAGGTTCGTTCGTTTACACAATTTTTACAAATTGTTACCAAAAGTTTGTTCGTTCATCCTAAAAGTCCAGTAAAAGAGAGTTAATTGAGAGAGCATATTTGACAGTTGTGTTACTGAGCATTTGCAAATTCTTACAAGCAGAAATATACCATCAGCTGTTTTGTTATGTTTTGTAAAGAAAACAACATTTTTCTCAGGAAATTTATTGTTTTGTGAATTTTAGATTGACATTAAAATGGATGATGAAAACGCAAGTATTTATAAACAAGATTAATTTTCCGCTTCTTATCCATTTTTTTTAATAAAAATGCTGTTTTTTTTCGCCAAATTGTTTGTTGTTTTAATCAGCTGTGTCGATACAATCTTTTTACTGGATGTTGTTCGTTTACTTTTTGCAATTTTCGCTCTTCAAATAATTAAATTTTGCAGTGAACACTGATGCCATATGCCGAAGTTTAAGGGAACATAATCCCAAAGCTCACGGCTCAAGAAAAAAGGGATATCGATCATAATAGGGGTAAGTCTAAAAGTCGAAGACGACTTTTGATAATTGAGAAAATCGCAAAGTCGACTTTTCAAAATCGACTTTCGATTTCTTCATAAATACTAGGTTTATTATCACAAAGCCGAAATTGCCAAAATAATTACTTGTGTTTAATTAATTTAATTTGTTGACAACAATTCATATAAAAAATCAAATTTTTAGTCGATTATGCTTTAGTCGGTAAAAGTCGAAAATCGATTTTGAACAGGTTGACAAAATCGAAAGATCGAAAAGTCGACTTTTAGTCAAAGGCTAAAATCGATAAGACTAAAAGACAACTTTTTGGTCAGAGGCAAAAATCGAAAAGTCTGACTTTTGCGCTCGACGACTTATGCGATCATAAGTCCTACTCAGAATTTCAAAACACAGAAACTACAAAACTCAGATTTTCACCCAAAATATATCTCGAAGTCTGGAAAGGTATTCTCAAAATAGAGATTTCTTATCTTGTTCGAATATGATGCATCGGAACGCGATAATCCATAAAAACAAAGTAGGAAAACTTGGACGTAAAACCTCCACGTAATAATTTAATACGTAAAAATAGGACAATTTTTTTAGATCATATGGGAGTTGCTATTATTTTGAGAGTACTTTTTGATAAAAAAAAGTTTTTTTTTTGTGTTTGTATGAATTCAGTGTGAATTCAGGGGAATCGAAGGCTCATTGTCAAGCCCCAACTACATGTTTTTACTTGAGCCACATTTTGGCAATCTATGATCTATTTGTGGTCACAGTCTCGATATTTAATGAGTTCTGAATTCTCAAAAAAATATTCTGTAGCATAATAGTCTCATTTGAAAATAACTGTCTCAATATAATTTCAAACTCTCCCTTAAGAAATATCCAACATCTTTAAGTAACCAAAAAAAAATATTTTTTTATACAACAACAATGAAAAAAGTTAAAATCAATAAAATGTATATATAATATATGTATATACAATTGGTAATATATATAAAGTGTATATTATTGTGTGTATATAAATGTCTGTGTGTATGTATTTCTTATAAAGCGTTTCATTTTGATGGTGTTTGATTTGAAAGTAGTAAATTAAAATCTCTCTCTCAAACTCTTCTGCTCTGCTCTCTCTTTATATATGCCACTTTCTCTAGATGTATTTTCGTCTTTTTTAAAAAGTTGTGGACCATTATTATACCTTAACTTTCATTATTTTAGGATAAAATAAAAAAAGAAACATGAAATTTAAATTTGATCTGAAAAATCCGTTCAAAAACAAAAGCTAACCTATAATAATGATCCCATAAAATATTAATTCAAAAAAAAAAAAATGTTAAAATTTGAATTGTTTTTTTCTACAACTTTTCAAATACCACTGTAATATATTGCATCCTCATCTTCTTCTTTATCTGTTGCAGTTAAAAGGTAGGTTGGTTGATTGATTCTTTTCTAAAGAATTGTATTAATAAAAAATTGCATAGAAATAGCTTACACTTCCGTTTCTTGCTGTTTAAAACAAAAAAATAATATTTGGTTTCATTTATCATCATAATTAAATAACATAAATACAAGGCGCGCGGGCGTCGCCTTTAGCTCTGTGCATCTTATAATTATTGCTATAAGTTTCCTTGGCAAATTGTTTTGTAGTTGTACTTGTCCTTTAGTTTATGGCTTTGTTGTTGTTGTTGGATGTTGATGCTATTGCCGTTGTTGTAACTTCAATTCTCATGAATTTGCATTTCCAATTCAACATCGGTTAAATTCACTTCACGTATTGAATTTATAAACATATAACGGGAAAAATAAATATATAGCCAACGGAACCATTTCATTTGCGATTGATGTTTTTTCATGGCATTGCGAACAATTGAAGACTCCTGCCAGCTTAAAATACACCTGGAAATGAAATGGGGATTAGTAATGTATTTAGTTGGATATTAGTTGATCATTGAATTTATCGGTAGTCCGATAAAGATATCTTCATAACAAATAAAAAAATTTGGAAGAGAGTATTATGTGGGGACTATTCTATGAAGTGCAACCACCACAAAATGCTGACTTTTTGTATTGAAAAGTCTAAAAGTCGAAATCGACTTTTGATCTTTGAGAAAATCGCAAAGTCGACTTTTCAAGATCGACTTTCGATTTGCTTCATAATTTCTTGGTTTAATATCACAAAGCGGAAATTGTCCAAAAAGTACACATTCAGAACTTTTTTCATCTGTTGACAACAATTCTTATAAAATATTAAATTTTTAGTCGATTTTGCTTTAGTTGGTAAAAGTCGAAAATCGATTTTGAACAGGTTTGACAAAATCGAAAGATCGAAAAGTCGACTTTTTAGTCGAAGGCAAAAATCGAAATGTCTAAAAATCGACTTTTTGGGCACAGGCAAAAGTCTAAAAGTTGACTGTTGGGCTCGACTACGTATCCCTTGGTACTTTGAACGTCAATCTTAAGTGAACCAATATTGATGATTTTGGGTGGGACGATTTGAGGAACAGAAGACCATTTAGTTCGAAGTGTTATATATCGGGATCAAATGCGTATGGATCTATGCGTATATTTGCTTGCGTCGATGAAGTGATATGTTAGAAGTTTTGCCTTGGCCTGAAATATATATCATATGAAAAAAAAAAACAAAACAATTACTTACCAATATCTTGACATAAAACATGTACAAATGATATCAAAAATTGATAAATATTTGCGCACTATATTAATGGAGTCCAAGGTATAAAATTTACAATCTGAAAGTAAAATAAAAATAGATATAAGTTTTGGTTTTTAATATATTTCAAAAGAAAAAGAAGAAGAATATATGAAAAAATATATGTAACTAACTCGTAAAAGCAATGCTACACTAATCCTTGAAGTTAAATCTAGAGAATGGGTTGTGGTTAATGTCCTTAGGTTACTAATTGCTTCTTCGTGCATTCGGCTATCAGTCGGAATAAATAGTAATCTAAATTTATAAACGTCCGCATTTTGTTCTTGCAACTGCAGATCTTACACATTTTCACGAAAGAGGGGTCTACAATCCGAAACCTACTCGGCCCATTGTGTAAAAGTAGTAAAGCTTGCGAGTGGCGACGACCACCTGATTGGACCACTTTGTAAGGGCGATCATTACTGATCTGATATCCGACATCACGAATTCCACCCGATGAATGATGTGAAGCGGTGACTTGCCAATTTCTATAATGTTCGGCAAACGTTCTTTGAGTTCCGTAACCAAAAAGCCAAATATCTCAAAATCAAAATGGGAGCCCCGCAAGGCGAGGCGCACTTCCCCACTCCAGTCATTTGGCCACCATGACTAACTTCTTCCAGGACTCAGAAGGTGAAATCTAGGAACAAAGTTCTAAAAGATATCCTGGAGAATAAGGACATATAAGGCTATCGGTCGTTCCATCCCTAATTATGCAGCCCCAGTATGAGCATGCTACCTTAGCGACACACAGTGGATATCCTTTCAAACATCACAAAATAACGTAAAATGAATTGAAATTTGTTGTATCCAGGAGACCAGAATACTGTCACTCAATCAACATAATGTGTTATTGATTAAATATTTCCGGCTGACATATTATCTGGCGTATCATTCCAACTATCACACAGTGATCACCTGCAATTTTAGACATTAAGAGACATCTTCCTAGAAAAACTCCTTCTATTCTGGCACAACTAAGGTCAGGATATAGTAATTTTTTTAACTCTTATGTGGGCATTGTTTCTGAAATCCTTCCTGCCAGCAAAGCCCTCACGACACACATTTTACAACAACAGGTCCTCTGGAGAATGTTGAGTATGCACGTTTGAATTGTGCAACGGCGTTTTGACATGTTTGAACTGTGTAACACTAGATTTCGCGGATCTCATTGACACCGCATATCTGACCCAACCATCGCTTTGGTCAGCAAGGTTCCCTTGTCTACGCCCCAAATGCTGTCGGCTAGCGACTTAAGGACCTAATAAATTATTTTGATTATCGCAGATATCTGAGTCTTGCACAGACGTCTACTGGGAAGTTTGGAATTTTTTTAGGAAGAATATTAGATGCAGACGATATGTGCCAACCATAGAGAAATTAGCCTTCTTCCCATCGCATATAAAGTGCTATCCAGTGTGCTGTGTGAACGATTGAAGGCATATAAGGCTATCGGTCGTTGACATTATTGGACCATACCAATGCGGCTTCAGACCTGGCAAATCCACCATTGACCAGATTTTCACTCTGCGACAAATCCTGGAAAAGACCCATAAAAAACACATCGACCCATACCACCTATTCGTCGACTATAAAGCCGCATTCGACAGCCCTATCCGTTCAGAGGTGTTTAAAGCCATGTCTACGTTCGGCATTCCTGCAAAATTAATACGACTATGCAGGATAACATTAAGTGACACAAGGTCAGCAGTTAAAGTCGGAGAGGACCTATCGAAGCCGTACTATTCCGAACGAGGATTCAGACAAGGTGACAGTATGTCGTGTGATCTTTTTAACATCCTGCTGGAAAAGGTCATACGAGACGCAAAGGTGAACCGAAATGGCACTCTGTACATCAAACAACAAATGTTAGTCGCCTACGCCGATGACATCGATATAGTGGGTCGAACATTGCGAGCGGTACAGCCACCTTTGAACAAATTGAGGAGTCTTACATAGTGGGTTCTGACAGTAAATGGCGAGAAGACCATGCTGATGGTATCAACGCGCAAGACGTCCAGTACGCGCAGACTAGGACCAACTGTGGAACATGAGAACTACAGCTTCGAGGTAGTTAAAGATTTTATATACCTTGGTACCGTCATAAATAAAACTAATGACATCAGTTTTTAAATCCGGATAAGGTCTAAGAAACAAGGCCACCTCCCGCCAGACCAAACTCACACTTTACAAGACGCTGATACTACCAGTGCTGTTATATGGACAGTTTCTGCTGACATCATACGGTGATGGCTGCTTCATCTGCGCTACACATCCTTCAGGACTTCACGTGGTACCAATCTCCGGACGTCAAGTGGTATCGGCCTCCGAAGGCGAAACCATAAACGGCTACAGATGCAATAAAGTACCAAAACAACATCCTCCTGCAATTTCGGACAGTGAGAGTTTTCTTCCAAAAGACAAACTCGTTATATTCACACACAACTAAGTTCCGAATGCAGTAATTTTCTAAACTCTATCAAGTCAATATTGTTCCTGGAATCCTCCTTGTCAGCAATGCCCCCACATTACTTATTCCTTTGTACATCCGAGCCAATAAATATTATTTTCATGGACTTATGGCTACAGCCTATATTGGGGGCACAATTCCCCGGCTACCCTGATTTTCGATAAGTTTTCTTCCGTTTTTATTTGAATTTTTTCAGGAATGAACTTTCCACCACAGCGAACCTGTTACAATTGCAGATCCTCTGGACTAAGTTGAGTAGGCTTGGAGGATGAGGAGGCAGTCTGTTGCTGTTCTCACAAGTTTGACCTGTTTAACGGCGTTTTGAAAGGTTTGAATTGTGTAACACTAGTATTCACAAAACATACCCAGCTATCCCTATGGTCAGGAATGTTTCAATGTTTGCGCCCCAAGTGCTGTCGGCTTAAGAACCTAGTTAATTTTTTAGCTTATCGCAAATAGCTGCGTCTTGCACAGATTTACTTAGTGGCGGATATTTTTTATATTCCTCAGATGAAAAATAACCATATCCTGTTTTTTTCTTATATTATACGACATATGACACTTCCTTACGCCTGTCACTCCCGGGCTACTCTATTGGGAAGTTTAGTATTTTTCCAGCAAGAATATTGCGGCTGGATGCCGCTGTGAAGGCACGGCATTTAATTGCTGTTAGCCAATCATCAGAATAATTGTTGAATTCTCAGAAATTTTGTAAATAGCTTTCGCGGAAGCTTTCAATGGTTGTGAAGGCGTGTGGATAGTTTATTCCCGGAGAACTACGGAAATCTTTCCTAAACCGCTGTCACGTTATAGCTGAACATTTTGGACGGTAAATGGTCCAACGATTAAATTCCTCAACCGTTACCGCATACACAAGAGTCCAGTTCAAGTGAGAATAGACTTCGATTTAATTCTAAACCTAATATATACCTAATATAATATATACTGATGTTGCTCGATTCAATATTTTTGAAAATATCTCCTTAGATATCCCCATCGACCTTGTCATTTCCATTCCCCCCACTCCATACATACCTTTTGGTAACAAATTGGCTAGACACAATGATGCTGCGGCATAATATACTGCACAATGATTTGGATGCTGGCTAACCCCATCACGATCAAACGTAAACAAGGCCTGAATACTCAGCGTTTCCACCGTGTGTAGAATAATGCTGGCCACCGCATCGGTTTTCCAATCGACATTTGGATCATCGGGTAAATTGGTGGCATTGACTAGTATAATATTGCCCTGAGGTAGACCCAGATGAGTGCATGAATGCCATAGTTCTTCGCGACGCTTGGAAGATTGTTTTTCATAGTTGCCTAGCAAAAGAGAAGAGGAAACAAAATTATATTTTTCAAACCCAAATTAACGACAATAAACACAACAACTCACCATTCGATAAACACAGCAAATATACTTCACATTGTTTCTGACGCGTCAGTGAATAGATTAGCGGTCCAAAGAACATACACTCATCGTCGGGATGTGAAATCACGAATAGAACTCTTTTGGCAGCTTGTGAGGTAGGCCATGGCAACCGCAACTGACCCAGACCCTTGTAGCGGAAGATCAGCGTATATATGGCTAGGCATACTAGAAAGTATGCTATCGAAGCGTAGGCTAAGTGCTCCAGGGCTTCGGTCGATTTGTCCAATAGACGTAGATAGACAGTTCGCGGATGTAGGGCAGCAAGGGTGGCCTGCAAAACACTCAGCCCCGTTGAATTTCCAATTAGCAGGCTGCGCTGCTGCTGATAAGCACTGTAGATGTTTGTGGCCGCTGTGCCACAAGTTGTCACTGTGGTATTAATAACGGAACCAATGAATGTATTCAGCCAGGACACATTCATTTCATTGCAAATGGACCCGTTTTGAGCGCAGCGTGCGTTTTCTGTCTGTGTGAGATACGACGGACAAGACCAAGGCTAATAGGAACAGCTGATTTCAATTCCAATTGGAGCTGTTAGATATCAATGGGAACGGTGCGGTGCGGTGAAGGTGGCGGCGTTACACTGCGTGACCAATAAACACAGTTTTAGCACATCTGTCACAATGCAAGGGATCGATGTCGGAGCAGTTTTATTCTTAGCCAGAATACGCTAACACGAATCGTTGTCATAAAAATACGGAATTGTTTATCGGCTTCTTTTCCAAGCTTACTGACACTCGCGCTTTATGAGACCATTAATTTTTTGTTTTGTCTATCTTCACAATTTTCGATATGTTTTACAGCCGTGTATGGTCCCCTAGAATTCTGCTGTTTGGTGGATTTTTCTCTTTTTTTATTTTTTAGTCCTCATTTGCACTAATCTAATATTTAGCATGTGTTTGTGTGTGTATGTGTGCCTGTGATTTGGACGTTCAATCAATGAATTTTTTGACATTTGTTTTGTTTCCAATTTTCGTTTCGTGTCGGCTGACATATATTATGACATCCAATCACTAATCAGCTGATTAATGAAATTCTTATAGTTGTTGTTGTTGCTGTTTTATTAACCCCTATGTGACACAGACAAAGTAGAAATTTAAGCAAGCGTTCACACGGATATATTTTTTTATTTTATAACAATTGTCAATAGAACTGTTTTTGTTTTCCATTTTCCAATAAAATATTTTTATAAGGTGAGAAAGAGAGATTTTATTCTCCACAATGGTTGATTTGATATTTTCGTCGTTGACTATGTATGTTCTGTCAAATATAAAATTAATATTCGCAACATGTTTAAGTGACATTTTTTAACACATTACTAATAACACGAAAAAATAACGAATGAATATGATTTCCTTACAAAATACAGTAGGAAATGCCATGAAATATTTGTTTCATCCTTATCAAAGAAATTACTTCTAGACGAAGCCGGAACAAAATCATTGTTGTAATCAGGATCCTTATCAGCGTCTTATAGAGCGTGAGTTTGGTCTGTCGGGAGGTGGCCTTGTTTCTAAACTACTCACTTAGATCATAGTAGCATCTGTTGGCCAACGACGACGTCGGATCATTAGTTTTATGTCGTTAGTTTTATTTATGGCGTACCAAGGTATGTAAAATCTTTGACTACCTCGAAGCTGTAGTTCTCAAGTTCAGAGTCTACTGAACGCCTTGCGCGTTGATACAATCAGTTTGGTCCTCTCGCAATTTGCTGTCAGACACACTTTGGTAGACTCCTTCTCAATTGGTTCAAAGGTGGCTGTTACTGCTCGCAATGCTCGACCCATTATATCGATGTCATCGGCGTAGGCGAGTAACATGTGTTGTTTGGTGTACAGAGTGGCATTTCTATTCATCTGTGCCTCTCATATGACCTTTTCCAGCTTGTCTGAATCCCAGTTCGGTATTAAAGGGCTCCGATAGATCCTTTCCGATTTTAACTGCAGACCTTGTGCCAGTTAAAGTTATTCCGCATAGCCGTATTAATTGTGCAGGAATGCCCATGGGAATGCCGAAACCAGACATAGCAATTTGCAACCTTTTTGATGCTCTGTAACTCTGTTTGCCACTTTTTAAGCTTTGTGTGACTTTTCTTTCATGTTTTTCTTAGGTTATATTTTCAATTTTATGTATAAATACAAACTTATTTTGATTCGTCGTTTTTGAGGTCCAAGGGTATCTGACATATTCTAAGAACAGTTTTATTGACGATTTTACTTTTCTATGCGACTTTTTTCAAGGAAACGATTTTTTGTACAATTTTTTTAAATTCCCAACGATAACACTGATTTCCATTATGAAAACGTAAACAAAAGCCAAATTTTTGACATTAGACTTGAGAAAAAACAGCTGACTTTCGCTAGCTGGGTGACGTTATTAGTAGATCATGAGACATGACTTTAAACATCGCTGAAAGGATAAGGTTGTCGACTACTGCCTTGTAGTCGACGAAAAGATGGAATGTGCCGATTTGTTTTTCGTTTGTCTTTTCCAGGATTTATTACAGAATGAAAATCTGGTCAATGGTGGATTTCACAGATCTGAAGCCGCATTAGTATGGTCAAATAGTGTCACCATTGACTTCAGTCGTTCGCACAGCACGCTGGATAGCATGGGAAGAAGACAAAAGGCAAAAACACATAAGCAGACTTCATGCTTGGTATGTTAAGTTGGCTTCTTTTATTGTAAAAGAATAAAGGAGAACGACGTACAAAATAAAGTTTGGCTCTGATATTCCTTCATAAATTGACATTTCACACAAAGCCAACTTAACAGGAAAGGCATGAATCCTCGTATGTGTTTCCTTCTTTATTTCTTTACAGTTGGCACAAATCGTCTTGTCTCCTTTTTTGTGCACGGTTCCAATCATTGGGTATGCATTCCTCTAGCCAAATTGTACTTATCCGCCGGTGAATGCTCCTGCCCAGCATTCATTGTTTTTATAAGGTCCATTGTCTATTAATCAGATCACCCAGAAAGACCATCTGCGTCTAACGTTTTCTGTCAAAACTCAATTGTTTGCATAAAACAGTTTTTTTATCTGCCTGGGTGATCTTATTAATTGATCTTGACCAATAGTGCGTTTCTCTTATATTTTTTGCCAATTCCATGGCATATACCTCACCTTATAGTACGTTTACATTGTATCAGATTTAGTTAACCAGCTCTTCCATGCAGCTCTTCTACAGGAAGAAGAATACCTGCAGCTCTTTCACCGGAAGAAAAATACTTGCAGCTCATCGACGGAAAGAGGAATACCTCCAGCTCTTCTATATGAGATCAAGTAGATTTCGTAGATCTAAACCACTAATGCACAAAATAGTACGATAGCGGTGATGATTCTCTTTGCTTCTCTCTTAGCCAATCATTTTTGAATGGGATCTTTCACTTACGCTCTCATACACTTAGTCTGCTTTTCCACAGGCAGATTTTTATTTGGCAAATTTTTTGTTTTCTCTTTTGAAATTTTCGCTTGCTTTTCCATTAGTAAATTTTTCTTTGCCAAATTTGCGAATCAAAATACAAAAGAAAGAAAATAAAAGTCAAAAGTGTTTGCATTTTAAAGATTTTTTTAATATTTTATTTATTTTTTATATATCTTATTATATAAATTGCAAAAATTAAAAATTAAATTTCACTTGCACAAATTAAAGCAACAGGTTCGTAAACAAAAGCCGGCTGTGTGTCAGTAAAGCGAATAGGTTCAAAAGGAAATGTCAACAAAATTGTTTTCAACGAACAGAGCAAAGCAGAATTTGCGTGTACGGCAAATTATGAACAGGCAAATTTTTGTTTTTCTCCCTCGCACCCCTCTCGCCTACAAACTCAGTATTTGCCAAATAAAAATTTGCCTGTGGAAAAGCAGACTTACTCTAAATTTAATTCTGTTCAACTCTGATCTAAACGTACTTTTAAACAACTACAGACAATGTGGCAATATCTGCAAAGCGAATGATAAATAATGGAACAAGATGAACTAACCAAGTTACTAGTTCCAATCGTTCCCTTATCTGAAGAGTTCCTATGAACTGGTTCGTTTCGGAACGACACAAGTGAAGTAGTCGTTCTATCCGCAAAATATTTTTTGTGGTGATTTTCTGTATTAAAATTTAATTGAAGAAATATTAAATATTTTAAATAATTTTATCAATGTGAAATGGAATTCAATTAATATTGGAAATTGATTAAAATTGAGGTGATTATACGACAACCGGTCCGGTCATGCCGGACGACTTGTTCAAGAACCAACGTGATGTGAAGAGATGTGAAACGTGATTAAAGCGGTAATCATCACACGCACTTTACACCGTACCGGTCGGTCGGTCGAGACACATAACATAATTTGCTTAAGGAAAATGAACCTCCGTCAAAATTTGGAGCACCTCACCACCGTTTATGAATCCGCCGTGAGATAATTATGATGAGACCAACCACCTCGTCTATTTATTTTTGCATAGAAAATAATCTATAATTAAAAATTAGAACCGTGTAAAAAATTGATACATATATATAATACATATATGTGTGAATGAATGTAACCGCGAAACAAAAAATCTGTAGATAAATACGAGTATTTTTTTTCCTAATTACTAAATTATTTTTCTATATTTTTTTTAAATAACACCTGCATTTTCTTTGCAATTGGGTTTGGGTACAAAAATCATGTGAATATACATACATACCTACGTACATATCTTTTTACTGCAAGTGAAGAAAAAAGAAAAATACTCCTTTAGCCCATTACCCAACCAACCAGCCACCCACAAAATAGAAACCAAAAAACCGGCACCGGGTGTGTTTGTGTGTGGTACATAATTCTAAAAAAAAATAATCCCGAAAGTATAAAAATAAAAATGTTGATTGATGTGCGTGCGGGTGTTTGTGTGTTTCTGATGATAATGTGAAAGATCATTGCTTTTACAGGTTACCAGATAGAGCGCCAAAAGAAAGCGAAAGCAATTGGTTCATAAAAAACGACAACAACAAAAACTATACACTGACTGTCCACATAAATCATAGATAAATATACTAAGTATTCGGAAACATTGTTGTGAATAGTTGAAAATTTCAAATAGAATTGAAATTATAGAATAATAAAAAGAAAACCAGGAAGACAAAGTAATGACACAACACGTACAAGATCCAGCTGTGTTTGAGAGGCGTTTGCGTCCAATCTATGGTAAGTTAATTTAATTTAGTGTATGTTGTATCGATTTTTATTGAAAATTCTTCTATTAAAATAGAACTTGAAATTACAATTTGATTTAATTTCCAACTTGTTGTCCAGGTCAAATATTGTTAAACAATTACTGCTCAAGTCTAATTTAATGGCCGGTTGTGTATCAAACTTTTTAACATAAGTAGTTTTAGAAGCCATTATTACAATGACATACTTATTTTCTTGTGGAAGTTCATATTTCCTGAGATATGGTCCTCCAAAGTTTTATAGATTGGAACAACTCTAGTTTTGTAAAAACGATCAGATTTTTCTAAAAATGTTTCCAGAGGTAGGTATTTTTACCCTAGTTATGGGGATATCTTTTTTTCTTGTACGACGTTCCCCCCAAAAAATGATGTGGTTGTAATCAGCTCCAAAAGGACTATCTGCTGTAAAATTTGAAACGTTTCGGAGTGGTATTCGTAAATATACTTAATAAAAAGTGGGGGTATTTTTTGAACTTTGGAACCCCATATCTCGGGAAGTACTTTTTTCCCCCCGAAAAAATTATGTTGCTGTAATCAGCATCAGAAGTGCTACCAACTTCAAAATTATCTGAGAGGTGTCCGTAAAGTGCATTTGTTCCTCTCAAACCGTTTTGGAGATATAGTCAAAAAACTGGGTTTTGGTCCCCGATTTTTTTTTTTTTTTTTTTGAAAAACTCCCTAAAAGTCAAACTTAGGTTTTGGAGATATAGTCAAAAAACTGGGTTTTGGTCCCCGATTTTTGTTGAAAAACTCCCTAAAAGTCGAACTTAGGTCCATTATAGTCGCTCTTCAGTCCTGAATCAAATGATAGATCACAATTTGCCCTTTCAAAAATAGTGCGATATGTGGCTATATCTGTTGTGGATCAAAAGATATGGGTCTTAAAACCCTACAAAAACAAGGAAATTCTGTCGCGTAGACGGTGTTGGCATCTGTCCATATGAGAAAGTCTTAAATACCCGGCCGAAGGCCGGCTACACAACAAAATATTTTATTCAGAATGAGTTTCTGCACATGGACATGATGTGGTTATCTCAAACCGTTTTGAGATATAGTCAAAAAACTGGGTTTTGGTCCCCGATTTTTTTAAAAACTCCCTAAAAGTCGAACTTGGGTCCATTATAGTCCCTCTCCAGTCCTGACTCAAATGATAGACCACAATTTGCACTTTCCAAAATGTTGCGATATGTGACTGTATCTGTCCCCCAAGAAAAAAAGATATCCCCATAATTAGGGTAAAAATACCTACCTCTGGAAAACATTTTCAGAAAAATCTGATCATTTTTACTAAACTAGAGTTAAGCCAAAATTAATTATTATTCTACGGAAGAAATCAATAATGTTGTGTTAAAATTGGGATATTGTTGCGTAGCCTGTGTTGTCATTTATCCGTAGGAGATTATAGACTTAAATCCCCAGCCAAGAGACGGCCACCGACAAAAACTATTATTTTTTAAGTAGCCGATCTATTGTTCCGCACATACGACTATGTGGATTGTTGATAGGTAAGATAGGTAGCAATTGATATATGGAGGAAGGAAGGCTATCTGAATAAAAAAAGTTTCCAAAATACCACCTTCGCAAAATTTATCTTAGTATAAATACATTTTAAATCAGAGACGTTCGGTCGGAATTTTAGGATTTTGCCAATGGATAAGAGCCAAACACAATTACTTCCTTCACATCGAAATCCATTTTGGACGACCGTGATTAGAGCTTATCCCCTGGGCTTTGTGTTCATAGTTCAATGAAATAAAATTTAAGGCTCAAGTCTGGGCAAATATTATTTTCTCACACACTCTCACTCAATATAACGATCTCGATTTAGCTATGTCCGTCTGAATGTTGAAATCGTGATAGATATTTAAAATAGATGCATGAATGCATGCCACTCTTCCACAGACAGAAAAATACTTGCAGCTCTCCACAGGAATAATAATACATAAAGCTCTTCCAATTGAAAAAATTGAATGTTCCAGGGGAAGAAAAATACTTGCAGCTCTCCTATAGAAAAAAGAATACCTGCAGCTCTTACACAGGAAGAAGAATACCTCCATCTCTTCTTTAGGAAGAATACATCCAGCTACTCTATATAGTTTCTTTATAGGAAGAAGAATTCCTCCAGCTTTCCCATAGGAAGAAGAATACTTCCAGCTCTTCTATAGGAAGAATAATACCTCCAGCTATTCTATAGGAAGAAGAATACCTCCAACTTTCCTCCAGTTCGTCAATAAAGCACAATCCATCACGTCTATAAAGGCTCTATTTAGCTCGTTTATAAAAACTCCCCCAGCTCGTCTATAACAATTCTTACCGTGTCGCCTATAAAGTCTCTCTTCAGCTCATCTATAAATAAACTTCTGTTCGTCCATATATACTCCGTCTATCTTATCTAAAAAGAGTCCCGTCATCTAGTCTATAAATATTCTCTACATTACCACTACTTCCAGCTCGTCCACAAGTACTTCGTTCAGCTTGTTCATGAATACTCCCCTCATATCGCCTATAAGACTCACTTCTGGTCGTCTTCAATATTTCTATAAAGACAATCCCCCAGTTCGTATATAAATCCACCCTTCACTTAGTTTAAAAAAGTTTAGGCAATCAACCAGATAACTTAATATATTTTAATATATGCATCTCTAATATTATGTATTTTAAAAGTCTTACAATCATTTTTCTATTATTCTTTAAAATATTTACATTCTTTGCAATTATATATTTGAATATAATCATCTAATTAATTGTCTACTGCACTGTACATACATACTAATTCATTCACTCATTCAGTCACTCACAATCTTAACAAAAATTATTATGCATATCACTTTAGCCATAAAAATTTATCATAAACAAAAAATATTTTGTTTTCCTACGTTTGTTGTTTTTTTCTCTACTATATTTTTAGATAATTTGGAGGTTGGCAACAATCGCAAGGCGCTACAAGAATCCGAAAAAGTCCTAAAGAAACATCCAAATCTATTATGCGCAAAAGCACTTAAAGGTCTGGCGCTATTACGTCTGGGACGCTATGAAGAAAGTCATGGGTATCTGCAGGCAGTCGCCGATGAGAAGCCGGTGAATGATGCTACATTGCAAGTGCTGTCATTTTGCTATAAAGAATTGGAGCAATGTACGTTGAGGTTAATTAATCTTAAGAAAATAGTCAAAAATAGTTGAAAGAAAGCAAAAAAAAAAAAAAAAAACAAGAAACAAAATTTTGCATACAAATTGTATTAAATTGAAGGCGTCGTTTGGTAGTTGGCCGTTCGTTCTGCAAATGACATATTTCAAATCTTAAAAATTATGCAGCTGTTGTCTGCTAATGGTACAGTGGAAAATGTTTAAAAGTGTACAATTAGCTTTGAATTTTAATAATACTGATTTTTTTTATTTTAGGAGATGTTATATCTATTGTCTATAAAGGCACCCTTTGATTAAAAAAAAAACTCCATACAGATTTCATTCCGGAAGTCTATTAAAACATTAACTAATCTTTCCAGCTCGTCTATAAAAATTCCATCCAACTCTTCTCTCGGTCCCATGCATTTATAAAGAGTCCCTGTACCTGGTCCATAACGAATATTGTCTGCTGGTTTATAAAGACTAGAGTCTATAAAGACTTCCTCCAGCTCGTCTATAAAGACTCCCTCCAGCTCGTCTATAAAGACTCCCTCCAGCTCGTCTATAAAGACTCCCTCCAGCTCGTCTATAAAGACTCCCTCCAAATCGTCTATAAAGACTCCCTCCAGCTCGCCTATAAAGACTCCCTCCAGCTCGTCTATAAAGACTCCCTCCAGCTCGTCTATAAAGACTCCCTCCAGCTCGTCTATAAAGACTCCCTCCAGCTCGTCTATAAAGACTCCCTCCAGCTCGTCTATAAAGACTCCCTCCAGCTCGTCTATAAAGAAACCCTCCAAATCGTCTATAAAGACTCCCTCCAGCTCGCCTATAAAGACTCCCTCCAAATCGTCTATAAAGACTCCCTCCAGCTCGCCTATAAAGACTCCCTCCTTTATAGACTTTATATACCTCTCTAGTGGTCTATAAAGACTTCTCCAGGTGGTCTATTAAGATTCCTTCCAGCTCGTTTTAAACCCCCCCCTTCAGCTCGTCTATAAAAACTCGTCTACAAAGACTCCCCTGGGTCCAATTTTTTTACCAGTCTTGATTTGCCACCCTATCTATTCATCTCAGATCTCATCAGATGATTTTTAACTAAACATGTTCCACTGTAAGTCAATCAAAAATCATGATACAGCTAATATTTATGTTGTAAACATTAAAAACTATGTTTCGTATTAAAAAACACTAAATTCTCAAAAGCATTTACCGTTAGCATTTAAAAGAGTAAAGACCAGATTTTTTTTTTTTGTTTTTGAAATTTATAATTCAGATAAGAATATATTTTAATAATTTAATTTACAGTGGACAAAATTGTGGAAATTTATAATTATGCGGTTAAACAATCGCCAAATAATGAAGAACTGTTGGCACATCTTTTCATTTCGCACGTACGCATGGAGGATTTCAAATCACAGCAATCGGTTGCCCTACAAATGTATAAAGCTCAACCCAAAAATGCCTATTATTTTTGGGCTGTCATGAGTGTGGTGTTGCAGGTTAGACACATTTTTACATAATAATGTGGAATAATTATCATTATTTAATTCAATCTATTTAATTTTTTTTTTTTTTTTTTTGTATTTCATAGGGTATTCGTGGCCCCGAAAGTACAAATCCAACTAAACGAAAAATCTATTTATCCTTAGCCCAACGTATGGTCGATAAAATGATCCAGGAAAATAAATTAGAATCCGAACAGGAAGCATTTTTATATTTGCACATTTTAAAGTTGCAAGAAAACTATAAAGGAGCATTGGATTTCCTTAACGGGCCGGTTTGTGAGAAAGTTTATCCCGGCGCCCCAATATATTTGAAAATTAATTTGCTCAAATCACTGAAAATGTGGTCCGAGTGTAATGAGCTGCTAAAGAAATTATTGAAAGAAGAGTGAGTCGCAATAAATAAAAATATTTTGTTTGTTTTTAGTTTTGATTCCTTTTGTTTTTCAGTCATGATCGTTGGGATTATTACAAGGATTATATTGGCACCTGTTTTGAATTGTATGACCTACAAAAATCAGAAAAATCTGATGAAGAAAACAATAAAGCCGATACTAAAAATCCTCTTGAAGAATGTAGAGATTTTCTAACCGAGGTAATTAAAATTTATGTAGTTTGTTCAGACTTCCCTTCTGACTAAAAAAAACGTAATCCCCCTAATTTTAGTACCTTTAAATTGCACGGGATTGCAATTGTCAAAAAGTTATAATGTAAATACCTATTTTTTTGTAAATATATGTTCATGCACTAATATTTTAAATGAAGATACTGATCAAAGCTTAAAGCATCGTAAAAAGTAACTTCCCTCAATTTTTAATTTTTTGTGATCAAAGAAAAGTCCTTATTTTTGATGGCGGGTATGATAACTCCTCACTGGAACATCGGAATCCGAAAATTCAAAAGGTGTTAGAAAGAGTACTTGTCTGGCTCTCGTATGAACTAGGATTATTGACTTCGCACAACAATTAACAAAATGGCGGAATTTTGATTTTTTTTTTTTTTTTGGAAAATCGCCTATTTTTGACCACAAACTAGGTTAAAAAATAAGGAAGATCTTCACCTATTGGCTTTATCCTAGTTCATACGAGAGCTATATACTCCTAGAGAAACGTGTCAAAATTTGGGACCGATTGGATTATTAGTTTTTGAGTTATCTCGTCAGACTACCTTCTGACTTCTATGAAAAATGTAATCCTCCAGTTTGTCTATAAAGACTTCTTTCAACTTGTCTCCTCAGCTCTATGAATACTCTCTTCAGCTCCTTCATAAAGACACCGTCTATAAAGACCCCCCACAAACCTCCTCCTCACCCAGCCCTCACCCAGCCCCTTAAACTCATCCTTTCAGCTGGTCCCCTACATGTGGCCTAAAAAGACACCCTCCATCACGCCTATAAAGAGTCTCTCCATCACTTCCTTCCCCTTTTTTTTGGATTTTCGCTACTAAATTTCATTCTATTACTTTCAGATAATTGAAACATCAACGAAAAAGGTAAGAGGTCCAAATTTGGCACGTCTGGAATTGCATCAACGTTTGCGACAACATAATTTAGATGCCAACACCTTCATGGGAGAATTCAGTGAATTGGTAATTAACTATTTCCGATTGTTTGGCGATAAACCATGCTGTACCCACGATATCTCTTTATTTTTGCCGGAAATATCTTTAAAAGATAGACAAGAGCTGGCCAATAAATTGTTAGCCGAAAGTGGCATTAGTTCGACAAATTTACCAAAAGATGTAAGTCAAATGCATACAAGAAATTTACTATTTTTTAACAATTTTTTTTTGTTATCTCGTTACAGAAAGAATCAATGCAAAAACATATTTGCGCCCTGCAAGTATCACGCATTTGTGGTTCCCATTTGGATTTAGATATTGAACACCGTTTAGCCTTTTATACATCACTGAAATTGCACTACGAGCATGGTCTTAGTAATTTTGGCAAAGATTTGTTACCCACAGATATGGGTCCCTCAGATCCATATGCCTTATTGGCAGGTTAGTCCAACACACACATTTGAAATATTCCAAACAATTCCAATGTATTTATCATTTGCAGCTAATGTTATGTACGATATAAGTCAACAGGAACAAAAATCCGATCGCATCTTTGAGGCTCTGTGTCTATTGCAATATGTTTTACGCAACAGCACCAGTAATTTCCACGTAAAACTGTTAAGTCTTAAGATATTCCATATGTTGGGCTGTCTACTGGGTGCCCAAGAAATGTATGAATATTTGGAAATTAAACAAATACAATTGGATTCAATGGGCTATGTTCACTGCAATCCCATGATATTGGCTGGACGTTTCTCAATGGCCCGCTCCGTTTATGATACCACATTGAAATTCTTTACGAACAGCTATAAGGAACGTCTCGAATATATAGCTTTAACATATCGTTTTTGTACGTTCTCCAAATTGGAAGAGTTCATGAATTTCAAGGAACGTCTAACCAATAGTTTACATTATGTGGCCATATCGGTGGAGGCCCAACTAACCGATTTGGTTATCCTCTATGGAAATGTGCAACAAAATCTCAATACATATATGATAATGTCCATTGATCCGGCCGAAGATCGCATTTCATGGAATGAGCTGAGAGATAATCGTGATTTAACTGCCATGATTCGATGGGATCCCGTACATTTGGTCGACACCGAACGCGAACGTAGCGAATCGTTTAAACAAGAAGTGGAAATATTGCACATACGCTCGTTAATGTTACGTATGGTGGCTTCATTCGTTGATTTATTCCATCCAAATTTAAGTGTGAAATATTGTCGAGCTGCAGCCGCATCTGGTCCCAATTTACAGGCCCTCAAAGATGCTTTGCCCGGTGGTGCCAAAGATACTGCAATTATTGAATCGTTGCGTGATTCATGGTTAGAATTGTTTAAACGTTTGCGTGCGGCCGCTGAGGACTTGAAACCTCTGCCGAATCGTTTTCTAGTCGATTTATTACCAACACGTTTGCATTTACTTTTACAAATGCCCTACGAGAAATTCTTTAGTGACTTAGCCCAATTGGTGATTGAAATGTATGTGGGCAATAACAATTTGCCGCTGCAATGTAAGGTCGTGTCGGATAATGCTGTCGAGGTTGTCAATTGCATTGAGGCCATTATAAAGGAGAGTAATGCCGCCAGTACAGATGGTCTATGGCGAAGACGTGAATGGCAAAGCAAAGTTGGTTCATGTTTAGAGGTGAGTTGAGTTAAGGTTTCCTTAAATTGATTTTGAAAATGATAATAATTTCCTTGTTTCCCAGATGATTTCCCTCTATGCCTTTGTGCTTCAAGCAATCTACGAGAAACTGCAAGCATCCATGAAAACGAAACAAAAAAGGAAACCCTCTGCCGATGGTGTAGAACAAATAATGAATGAGAAGGAACGCTGTCAATTGACAGTTGAATTGATGCGCCAATTGAAAATTGAATTCCAACGTTGTGATAAATGTTTACGTAAGTAGTGGGAGTGAACAATTCTGTTTAAAATCAATACAATTCTTAATTTTTGTCTCTCTTCTCGTGAAATGTGTTCATTACAGTTAATTGGAATACTCCCGCACTGCCACGTAATCTAAATTCATTTATGGCCGATATGTCATTGAAACCCGAAATGGAAGCTATACTTATTGGTGATGTTGCATCGACATTCAAAGAATCGCATGAGTTTATGATTACCGAACTAAGGAATCTGTTAAAGGATAAAATACGCATGGTTACCAAGTAAAGACAGACAAAAACAAAACGAAGTGCGCGTACATATTTTTAATATGTGTGCTATAAGCTTAAGCGCCTTTTCAAAAAAAAGCTCACTCGTTTGGTTATCTAGAAAAAGGAAATGTCAACGTCAAAATAATAAACACGTTACTGGACACAACATAGCTTTGTGTGTGTTAATACGCGTATTTTATTGATGACCCCAAAACTTTTTTACCAAACTCGAGCTGTGAAATATATACATAATTTTTTTCAACCATCAATAAAAAAGTCTACAATCAATATCCATTCGTATTTGTATGAAGAACAAGATAATAAAATAACAATTTTTTTGCTGTGCAAATTCTTTTTTTTCTCTAATATAATTCAATTACAAATTTCTATTTAAAATCATAAACAGAAAAAGTGTGCAAATGATGATGATATACAAAATCGTGGTTTAAAAAATAATAAACAATAAATGCATAGTGTTTTTCTAAAATAAAATACAAAAATTAATAATAATTTGAAAAGAAAAAAAAAACTAATTTTTTGGTAATTCAATAAAAAAAACTTTTAGTAATTTAATATAAGTTTTATATATGTATGTATGTTTTTAAAAACATTGTGATTATTGTGTTTGGGGTAAAAATAAAGTTCCTCCATTTGGATTATGTGGATGATATCGGCAAAGAGGTAAAAGAGTGAAATATAGAACCATAAACCCAAAATTCTTGGTGTGATCTTCGATAACCTCCTACATTTCTTCTCGCATTCCAACTACATTAATCTGGAGGTGAAATATAGGAGCAAAGTACTAAAAGGTTTAACGTTTGGTCGTTCCATAGTTTATTATGCAGCCTCCTTCATTAGTGACAAACAGTGGAGATCCTTGCAATCTACTCAAAATAATGCTGCTGTGCATCAACATGCAGCATTAAGTTAAATTATTTTCATTCTCTTCTATCAATATTTTTCTAGAAAGACCATTCAACAACAGCCAATCTATTAAAACAATTATGATGGGAAATGACTCGAGTCTCACTCGGCCAACGTCTTCCAACCCAACAAACCCATTGTGTAACAACAGTAGGGCTGCTACAACAACAATAAGGAGGTTATGTAACTACGACACACGGCGGTGTTATTACGACCCTTACATCGAAAAAGCGCTTACTATTGTTTTTGAAATCGCTCCCTCATTATATTTTGTGCTAGATTATCGATCAGTCATTTAAATTGACTGACGAAAAGATAATACGGGTTTAGCGATCACCTATTTTAAGTGCCCTAGATCAACAGGCCTATTGTAACTCCTTTGAACCTGAAAATATAGTAGTCTAAACCGCTTATAAAGACGTTCAAGGGATCGAAAAAAATGGATCGTTATAAACGACATGTCCTTATAAACAATATCAATAAGTATTACCATGGAAATTCCGTCCGAGCTCAACTCTTTGCCACAGGTGGTCTAAGAGCCAAAGTTGTTGCTTATTCCTTACTTAGCTGTCTTGTGACAGAACTTTCGTTCCATAAGCCGAGCTTAAAAAATATTTCCAGGCGCGTGTGTCTTTTGCGCAGTTTTTCCAATTTGAAAGACCATGCTCGGCAATGCTCGCGACCTTAACCTTCTGCGTGAACCATCAGTAGGTTCGCTTTTATATCCTTTTTGAGCTGGGGCATCTTCACAACATGACCCAGCCAACGTAGCCGCTGCAGCTCGATACGTCTGACAATGCCGACTCATGGTTCATTCGACGGCGATATTCACCGTCAACGCAGATCGGCCCACAGATCTTTTTCTCTCAAACACTGCAAGAGCTGCGTTTTGTAGAGTGTGAGTTTGGTCTGGCGGAAGGTGGCCTTGTTTTTAAACTGCTTACTTAGACCATAGTAGCATCTGATGGCCAACACTATCTGTAGTACCACCAAATTATAATATTTGGTTGATTACAAATATTAACATTATTTTTTATTGGAATATCTATCACAGCCGAATACACTAAAATATATATCTAAACTGTTACATATTTACAGATGGATTTGTTGATGGTCCATTAACACGAACGCTGTCTTCGTCTCGCTTTATACGTTTCAGCAATATTTTTGATCTTGGATCGTTTGAATGCAATAACGTTTCCAAATGGGCTCTTAAATGATGGGAGCGAGAAAAACGTCTGCCACAGAGTTCACAGCTGTGAAAGATAAGAAGAAGAAAATTATTTCGAATTAACATGTAATTGTAATGTAAGTCTATTTTTTTTAAGTTATTTCGACAGATAAAAGATGAAGTCCTTCCTAACTGAAAATATATTCGAAAATTTTAAATCTATATAGTTAATCGATGTTTTTTGTATTTACATACTTGTAGGGCTTTTCTCCGGTATGTGTCAATTGATGAACTTTTAGAACACTGGAATAGGTGAATGTTTTACCACAAGTTTTACAGGCATACGGCCGTTCGTTGCGATGAATTCTGTAAACGAAAATTGTTGCAAAATATATCTCGGAAACAGGTTCTTCTGGTCATTTGCTACATACCTTTCATGTTTTGTTAACGTTGAACTGTCGCCAAATGTACGTTTACAATATTTACATTCATATGGACGCAAACCGGTATGCTTACGCATATGTCGTGATAATTCAAAGTTACTATGAAATGCCTGGCCACATATTCTATTGGAAAAATTAAGAATTAGACAAAAATGAAAATTAAAATGAAAGATCTTTAAATTATAAGAATTAATATCCAAGGCCTGAATAAGGTCGGCCAGTAAGTGAATTCATAGAGAAAAAATGCCGTCAAGGCAAGTATGGAAATTCAAATCGCACAGCTAGGAAAGTACCTTAAAACATATTTTTAACCAGTAAGGAAAGTAGTAAAGTCGGACTGAGCCGACTATATGATACCCTTCACCACTGTGGGTATATTCTACATATGTCTACTAACAGAACAATATCATTTCATTTGAACAAGTTTACACTCAATTCAGTACGTAGTGCCAAATTTCGTGCAAACCGAAAGACATTTAGGGACCACTTATATAAAAACTATATATGGTAGGTATATCTAAATTTGAACCGATTTTCCCGAAACTTAACACATCATACTTGACTTAATTCAGTGCTCTATATCAAATTTCGAGCAAATCGAAGGATATATAGGGAAGTTGGTGCACCATTCACATTAAATCGGACGAAAATATATTTGGGAGCTATATCTAAATCTGAGCCGATTTTCGCGAAACTTAGCACACATCATTCTAGACTTAATTCAGTTCGATATGCCAAAATTCGTACAAATCGAATAATTTAGACGGACTTTACATATACAGGGACTTTACATATATATATATAGGAGCTATATCTAAATCGACTCAGAAAGTGAATCTATGCATATTCTCAAAAGGAACCACGGGTCTATCTCGATTATTTTTGCCTGTTACAAACATATGCACACAGTGTGTTGAAGGGTATAAAGAAGTCGCGAAGTCCTTCAGTCTTCTCCATTCTCACCCCCTAAGATCGGTTAGTCCGTGAAGAGTGTTATTTCCCAAGAATTGTTTACGAAGGCATGTAAATGCGGGGCAATGGCACATAAATGTTCCAGCGTTTCACTGTCTTCCCCACACGCTCTGCACATGCTGCTACTTTCGCATCCAATCTTGAGTAGATGTGCCTTCAGGCTGAGGTGTCCCGTCAGAATACCCGTTAGTCAGCTTATTTTTTTTAGGATTTGCTTAGTTTGTTCTTTATTTGGGTCACTTCATAAGATTGTCGTGATTTTTCCTGTCCCCTCATGGGTCTCATTCGCACATTTCCCGATTTCTTGGCGTGTTTCGCTAAAGGGTTTGGCGGTATTCACATCTATTGTGGTTAGTGCAGTAGCACTCCTAGCTAGTTGATTTGCTATCTCGTTGCCTATGATTTCTTGGTGACTCGGTACCCATATAATTCGTACAGGTCCTTGTTGTGAGAAATCATTAATGGTATTAATACATTCCATAGTTTTGAATTTAACTGTTTTGGAAGATTTTGCCTTTATAGTTCGTTTGCCATCCGTAATAATATTTATTGTATTTGGTACAACTCGTGGTTCATTCGACGGCGATATTCACCGTCAACGCAAATCGGCCCATAGATCTTTTTCTCTCAAACACTGCAAGAGCTGCGTTTTGTAGAGTGTGAGTTTGGTCTGGCGGAAGGTGGCCTTGTTTCTAAACTGCTTACTTAGACCATAGTAGCATCTGTTGGCCAACATTATCCTTCTCCGAATTTCAAAACTGATGTCATTAACGGCACCAAGGTATATAAAATCTTTGACTACCTGGAAGCTGTAGTACCACCAAGTTATAATATTTGGTTGATTACAAATATTAACATTATTTTTTATTGTTTTTATAAAAAACAATATCTATCACAGCCGAATACACAAAAATATATACCCATATAATTCGTACAAGTCATTTCCCACTGCTATGTATTATTTTTTATTGCAATATCTATCACAGCCGAATACACAAAAATATATACCCATATAATTCGTACAAGTCCTTGTTGTGAGAAATCATTAATGGTATTTATACATTCCAGTATAGTTTTGGATTTAACTGTTTTGGAAGATATTGCCTTTATAGTTTGTTTGCTAATAATTATAATATTTATTGTATTTAGTTCTTGGTTTGAACTTAACCAGTGAAGAAATTCCGTTATAGCTTCAACCTCCGCCTGTAGGAGGGTGCTGTGATCTGTAAGACAAAGAAACATTTCTGTACCCGGTTCTTCGATAAAAAGTCCCAGTCCCAGTCCCACTATTCCATTGTTCTCTATCTGGTAATCGCACCGTGTTACTACTCTCGTTTCAGGTATGCGATCTGAACCAAAGGTATTAATTCTTGACTCTGTAGTTGCCTGTAATATGTTTTTGTGCGGTGTGTTCTGTCCGGTGTCTATCCACTCGTCTATTGCTTTGAGTCTTAAAACTGATACCGCCGCTTCAAATTATATTTGGATGTTTATTGGATGTATATATAACATTGTCTCCAAGGCCCTAGTTGGTGTTGTACGTAAAATACTTACTCGCATTCAAAAGGTTTTACATCATGATGTCGACGAATGTGTGCCTGCAATTCGTAACGGCGTCCATAAGCATTTCCACATATTTCGCAGGTATGAGTCTTTTTTGGATTATTGCCAATAGGCTTTGTACTATTATTTTTCTTCGATTTTTCAGCTATAATAGCAGTACCATCCGATGATATCGCAAGTATTTTTGATGATGTTATGGTGACAGAATCCTTTGTTATGCTATTAATCAAATCCTGTTGTAGTGGTACATCTTCTGTTAAAGTTTTATCTTTGGTATTTTTCAATAATTTATATTGAATTTGTGCAGGACGATCAACGGGTAAGGATGATTGTATTTCTTCCTCTTCATTATCATAGCATTCCATTGTGGTAATATTTTCTTCAGAAGGATTTTGAAGTTCATTTTCTTCATGATCATCTGCTTCTTCGATTCGCTGACATTCTTCTACAATTCCATCACATTGTACGTCCTCCTTCAGATCATCATTCATTATACCAGTTTCCAAAACATATTCATGAAGATATTTTTGCGAATTGCGACAGATGGAGGCAAATGTATGTGCAATATTTAAAAATATAAGGCAATTTTTACACATCAATGATGGCAACTTTTGGTGATTTTGAATCTGTTGGAAAATAAAATACATATGTAATTACAACAAGAACAAGAAAAAAAAATCCAATATCTTGGAAGAATACCTTGATGCCAGTACAGTTTTGAATTTTGTCACATATCAGCAATTCATCGGACTTATTGTTATCCTTTGATTGAAATATGGGAAACATTGGACATGTCTCATTTTCCTCCTGACTTTGTAAACATATGCGACAGGCCAATATTGGAAACTCAATGATGGTTTTTTGCGGAGAATTGCAAGTGGATACAATCTTTTCTACCGGAAACTCAGTCACACTTTGAACGGATACATTAGGAGTTTCCGCAGTCGGACTTTCAACTGAATCCATTTAGGCAGTAGAAATTTGATGCAGTAAGGAACTTCCAATGTTTAGAATGAGGAATCAAAACAAAAAGTATAAAATTAATGAAATGTGAATGATTGCCACTCACAGGGATTTGATGGCGCATGGGGTGGTAATAAACTGCGTGAAACACCCTGTAGAAAAAATTGAAATATTGATTAAGTTTTCAAGAATTTAATAGTACGTTTACATTTAACCGGATTTCGTTGACCCAGTGGGTTTCAATTTTTCAATTCCTTTGCATATATGTCAAATAAATCCTCATGAAGTAGGCTAACCTGGTGAAAAGTTCTAATGTATAACCCCAGAAAACTCCAGGGTGGGAGAATTTACTCTTGAAGTCAACAGACCAGTATGCTAGGACAAAAGTGACTAAGCTTTGGCAATACAGCATTGTGGCCGGAACAAGTAAATTGTGGGCAATGTTTGTCACTCTCGAGCCTTGGAAGGATGGACGACAGGACGGCTATTGCATTTAACGACATTAAAGCGACAGATCCGAAGGGGTGTTATTTTAACCGACAGAAGACATAAACAGTTTGGATGTTATGAAATTGATAATCTAGTCTTCTTCTCCAAAATAGACCCTAACCTAATTCTAGGCTTTGTCAAAAAATTGACTTGGCTAAAATAATGTCTCTTCCGCTCCCACCTATTCTGACTACCTCTCTCTCTACTCTTCCACTATCTTTTCTTCTTTCTCTTTATAGGTACACCTATACATAAAGGATGATCACAATGGACATAGTTTCCGAGTGGACGGTTGTTACAACAGCCGTACATCCCAAACCTAACCTAACCTAATATAGCACTCCGATATTGACAAGGTGAAAAGGAGTGAGCTACGTCGAATAAGAGCCCTCCAACACAATAAAAAATGGAAGATTTTGCAGATATCATCAGGAAAGCTATGTCGTCCAAAGGGTTGGAGGGAGAGTTAGTTGACTACAGTAATGATTTAGCAACTGTATGAACCAGGGATGCAAAAGTTGGTACTAATTTTAGCACTATTTGGAAGTCAAAAATACAATAGCACCCCAGTGACATATTTAACACTTTTTCTACATTGTATCAAACTATTCTCACTTAAAAGTATTATAAGTGCTTAAACATACAATATGAAAAGGATCGCCATCCCCCGCTGTCGTTACGAATGGATGAATTTACCATAGTTTAAACTTAGTGTCCTATGCCAATTCAGAATTCAGTATTCCCGATCAGAATGATAAATACAGTAAAGATATTAATTATTATTTTTGTAACAGTTTTATGAGAGAGATGATTTTTCATTGTTTCAGGAATATTTCGGTACAGATATTTCTGTTGTTTTTAAATACTCACCAACTCGGTGGCTTTCACGTCAAGAAGTTATTGAAACAATTTTGGCGCAGTGGGAATCACTTCAATATTATTTTAATAATGATTTCGAAGCTGATTCCTAAAAGTTAAGGCTCAATTCTATTATTTCAGAATTTTCAAACCATTTTTATACCCTTCACCACACTATGATACAGGGTATTATGTCTTTGTGCATATGTTTGTAACAGGCAAAAGGAATCGAAATAGAAATTGGCATATTGTATTAAAGAAAGAGTACATGTCTGGATATTGTATGAACTAGGATTGTTGATTTCGCACAACAATTAACAAAATGGCGGAACTTTGAAATCGATTGGATTATTAGTTTTTGAGTTATCGTGCCCGCCATTCTCAAAAAACTCTGTTTGGAGAAAAACGCGTTTAAAGTTTGAGAAGCCCTCATGCCGTTACTTGATGCTAACACAATAAATCGGCTATATCTTAAAAAATTGTTGAGATTTTCATTTGAAAATTTATGGAGACATTCTTGAATTAGTGTAGGTGGTTGTGTCTTATCGGTCTTCTTAATTAAATCAAAAAAATACAAAACTAAATTTTTTGAAACCGAAAATGGGGGGGTCCCCTTAAAGTTGCATAAACCAAATGGTGTATGGATTTAAAAACAAAAGACACCAAAGAATCCAAGTCTGCCATGCCATTTTTGATATGCAATTTTTCATTGATTTCAGAATGGTATGTATATATTTTTTTAATATGTACAAATATCTATATTTTAGCATCTCTTGTATGTACCTAAAGTGGTGAAGGGTATCGTATAGTCGCCCCCGTCCGACTTTTGAACTTTCCTTACTGGATACTGGTATTTTTGTTCTTGCAATATGTACAAAAATTATAAATAATATCAGATTAGAAATGTTGTCTGAGGATGCCAGAATGCATGTAGAAATTTTTAAGTCTTTCAAAAAGGACAATATATGCACTTGTTGGTCAATGGTGACTGAAGTCAAAACTGAACTACACGAAGATATGTTTCCTTATATATCACAAATTTTTAGATGGTTATTATATATTCCACATTCATCTACAAATGTGGAAAGGGTATTTTCATATCAAAATATAATTAAAACCAACGAAAGGAACAGAATACATGCTTCGACTGCTGCCAATCTTAATTAATTTTTTATGTATGTTTTTATTAATTGTTAATAACAATAAAAATTTTATTAAAAAATAAATAAAAAGTACAATCGGACTGAAAAAAGTACACTTTTTATTGAAAGTCAGTACAATTTAAATAATTTCATTTCGCATCCCTGGTATGAACCCAGATTCGAGTATTTAACATCAAGTAGGCGGGATGGTACCGCAACTATATTTGTAAATTTCAGTCATATATGGAATTCAAAAAAAGCAACTGTAAAACAGAGTTGTCTTAGGTGGGATTTCTCGGAGTTGTTCAACCTTTTTATTGCTGATATTCTATATCCACCGGACAACAAAAATATGTTGTACTCTGCGGAGGAGTACGCTACAAGCAGCTCTGAGCGCAATGCTGAACTTAAAGCCTTTGGTCCTCAGCATTAAGTATCAGACCGCACGTAGCGGCCTAAGGCTGCATGAACGAAACCTCTGGCGAAGTTGTACCTTTAGGCATGGTCGTATCTGAGATTTGACGATGTAGATGTCGTTATTCTTAGTAGAGAAGACTGGAACCGAAGTGGGCTGTGGCTGAGATTTGGCACCCGGGGTTGCAACCGCTGCAGAGATATGCCCTGCCGACGCAGGCACCTGCTCCGCGCTCGCTACCTTCGGCGCATCCACTAGCAACTGCCAAATTGTCACAGCCTTGGGTATCGGCTTTGGCAATTCAACAGAAGGTGGTTGTGTCTTATCGGTCTTCTTAAAGGTCTTTTTACGGGCTCTCCTGCGGGCCGACTTCGAGAGCCCCCTACCTCCCGTCTTTGTGGATGCTGGTGTCTGGAAGTCTCAGTACTCAGTTTACCCTTGAGGGATGCTGAGGGCTTAGAAGTCCCAGCCTTCAGCTGCCTATGTGTACTAGAAGTCCCGACAGGTTTCTCCTTCTTTGAAGGGACTACCGTGGCGGTCTTAGTACTGGGTCGGGGGATCCTTTCAATCAAGAAGTCCCTCTCAATATCGTTCGGATAGTTCCTGGAGAACTTCCGGATAAATTTGAGGTGAGAAAAGGAGTTCCTTTTAATCAAGAGGAAATTCTACAACGAATTTTCCATCATTTTATTGAAGAAAATAGTAATATATAGTCGATTCCTTCTTTCTTATAATCACCTTCCTGACTCACGTCCATCACATTTATGTGAACGGGCCCCCCGAAATTTGGTAAAGTTCTCTATTTTTGATGGTAATAAATATTATGAGACACCCTGTTGTTCAAATAAGCGGTTAACATACGATTAACGGTTTCTCATCTAGTGTGCCCTTTTAACAGCTGATTTTTGTCTATTTGTTTTTATTACAATTCTAAACAAATCACTGTCTTCTCGTTCTTCTTTATTTCATTTCACATGTCAATCCGTTAAAACCCCCATGGTTCCAACCGCCACAAACACGTGTACATATTTAATAATTTTGAATTAAACCGACCAGTGCAAGTGATGATATTGATTAGTGGTTTATTAAGAAGTTTAAAGGCAGGTATTTAGACGATAAACCCAATATTTAAATCATCTTTTTAACATAATTCCCCATTTGTCATTCATCTTTCGTAGAACGCCTAAAACTATTGGATCATCTAACAACAGTACGTAACAAAAGTTTCACAGCCGCAATGTCTGAGGCATTGGATATATTGGAGCAACAGCAGGAGCAGAGGAAAAAAGACAAGGAAGTGGCCATAGAAACCACCAAGGAAATGAAGAAATTGAAACGGAATTTAAAGCGTCGCAAATGGGTTGATTGGAAAACAGAAGACGATGAGAAAACTGATGAAAAACGTGCCGCCTTCAATCCAGCCGATCGGGTGAAGCGAAAAAAGACAGCCATATTATTGTCATATTCGGGGGCAAATTACTTTGGTATGCAACGTAATCCCGGCATGGCAACCATTGAGGAGGAGCTATTCAAGGCAATGCATAAAAATAAATGGATAACCGATGAGAGTTTTGAACAGGCACAAACGTGTCTGTTTCAACGGGCTGCCAGAACAGACAAGGGTGTTTCGGCGGCGAGGCAAGTGTGTTCCATGAAGTTGCGTAAGTTCTTTTTTTTTTGGTATTGGTAGAATATGTTTTTGATTATCATTTTTTTTTTTATTTTTTAGCTGAGGATTTGGATATTGATGCCCTGAACAAAGATCTTCCCGAACAGATACGTTTATTTGGCATAGAACGTGTCACAAAAGGTTTCAATGCCAAAGATCAGTGTAATGCTCGAACATATACCTATACAATGCCTAGTATAGCATTTGCCGATTTCAATGAAAAGACAGAATTTGAAAAATTCCGTTTAACGCCGGAAAGAGTTAAGAAGGCACAAGAAGTCTTGCAGCTGTTTGAGGGTACAAAGAATTTCCATAATTTTACAAGTCGCAAGTAAGTTGGAACGCAACATAACATATTCTACACCAGACAAACAAATTCGTCCGATTTTATCTAAATGGTGTAACAACGACCCTAGATTTGTCCGACCCCCCCGAAATGGGGTTAGAATAACGGGTGTCAAGTTTTATACAAATCGGCTAAGATTTAGATATAGCTCCCATATATAACTTTGTCCGATTTCATTTAAATTTCGTAGCTATACCTCTACTTTTATCCGATTAACACGAAATTTCAAATAGGGTACCAAATTGTGTCTTAAGTGACTCGTTTCAAGTTTGCTTCAAATCAGTTCAGATTTAGATATAGCTCCATATAAAATATTGTCCGATTTCGTGTAAATTGTGTAGAAACGAACCTACCCTTATCCGATTTTAACAAAATACTGCATATGCTACCGAAATTGGTTTAGAATAATGTGTGTCAAGTTTTAATAAAAATCAGTTCATATTTAAATAAATGGTGTAGCAACGACCCTAGGTTTATCCCATGCATATAAAATTATGCATAGACTACCGAATTAGAGTCTTAAATTATGTGTGCCAAATTTCCTTTTAATGGTTCGGATCTAGATATATTAACAATATCAAATTTGGTTTGATTTTATGTAAATGGTGCGCGAAAGTCCCCACGATAATGTGTGTTAACTTTGGTAAAGATCGGTTCAGTTTTAGATATAGCTCCCATATAATGTTTCAACCGATTTCATGTAAACTGTGTAGCAACGACCCTACGTTTGTCCAATTTATACCAGTATGTGCGATTGAGTTTAGAGTATTGTGTGTACAGTGCGATTTCAATCGATTCTTAGGTATAGCCCTCATATATGTTTTTGTCCTAATCGGCTCAGAATTAGATATTACTTACTTAAAGGCTACACCAAAGATGTTTATTATGTTTGAGCGAGGGATAATTTCAAATAACTCCCTCTATATAACCTCTTTTATGAACTCTGGTGTAGAATATCATAAAGTTGACACTCTCCAAGTTTTGTACCCTTCGTACTATTTAATTAATTTTTCTGCATTATTTCTTTTTCACAGGAACTTTTTGGATCCCTCTGCCAAACGTTTCATTATGTCATTTACATGTACCGAACCATTCTTAAGTCCTCAAGGCGTTGAATTCATAACGGTGAAAGTGAAGGGACAAAGTTTTATGCTACATCAAATTCGAAAAATGGTTGGTCTCACAATAGCCATTGTTCGTGGTCACACCGATGTTGCAACACTGGATCGAGCTTTAACCGAGGAACGCTTAGATTTGCCCATGGCACCCGGTCTTGGTTTGGTTTTGGACACGGTACATTATGAACGTTATAATGAACGCTATGGTCAGGACGGTATACACAATCCATTGACATGGGAGAAACAAGAACCGGAAGTTCGCAATTTTATAGAAACTAAAATATTCGATACAATTTATCGAACGGAATGTGAGCAGAAACCATTGTTGGAATGGTTGGAAACACTGCCGTTACATTCCTATGATGCGCGTCGGGATGATGCCACCACAACGAATAATGATAAAACTAATAAAAATGATGATGACAATGAAGAATAATCGAATTAAGTGTGTATGTATGTGTGGTTTCAAAGGCATAATACAAATGCACAATTTTACTTTATTCATATATAAAAAAGTATTAAAATAAAAAAACAAATTCTGAACATACAGGCATGATGTTTGCCCTTGTGAATGTTCGGTCGCGTCATGTCCAAGAAACCATCAATAATCCGTTGTTTTTTGTTTTGTTTAGAAGCGGTTGTTGCCCTTCTTCTTTTTGTGGCCACCCTTGCGGTGTTGCTGGCGGGGTCCTGGGGTGGGCTCTTGATAAACGGGAGTGGCAGGTGAATTCTTACCCAAATTTGCACGATTTGACATGTCACTGAAGAGAGAGAGAGAGAGAAAATTCCCATTAAATCCTACTCTATTACCGAGCAGAAAAATGAAAAAACTTACTATTGCTCAGCTGCTTGCGAGGACATGCCCTGGGAACCCTTGATAATTTCCTTGGTTCTGCGGTCACGTTTCTTGCGATAACCGGTCCGTTCGTATTTGGGCAACCATCTTTCGGGATCTGGTGGCACCTCGGCATTATAGTTCTTGGGCAATTTACCCTTACGCTTACGTTTGTTGTTCTTCTTACGTTCGACAACTGGGGTGCCGGGTGACATTTCAATTTTGGCATTTGCCGATTTTTTAGCTGCCTTAGTTGACATTACCCAATTGGCCGCCTCCAAGGCGTCAATTTCAGAGGCCGTTGTCAAGGTCTCCAACTTGGGTAATTTCTTGCTAACTTCCAATGCCTTTTTGGGATTAAATTGGGCATAGGCTATAACCAATTGAGCCAGCACTTTCATATCGTTGGGTTTCAATTTGAGTAACTCTTCCAGAGAGCTAGCCGCAGTTTCAGTGGCTCCACCACGCAAATGGAATTCAGCAGCCTGGCGCCACATATCCGACAAATCAGCACTGCTGACATTATTCTTTTTATACCAATCAACGGCCGTCTTTAGGAGTTCCGATGCAGCTGGCTTGTTGTTGAGACCCAAATAGAGAGTCACCAAAGCCGATACAATACCAGGCTTGTATTTATTTTCACCCAATGATAGGAACACCTCAACGGCACCCTTGCGATCACCCTGAGACAAAAGTAATTGAATAATTGCAAATTTGGTGGCAAATGCTTGATCCTTGTCCTTAGTGTTAGAGGCATATTTCTGCAATAGATCAATGGCCTCCTTGTGTTTCTTATCCTTTGACAATTGTGTGGCCTTGATCAGCACCGTTTGGAATTCCAAGTCGGGATATTGATTGGCCAGCTTGGCGCAGAATTGTTGTACTTGTTCACTTGAATTGGTAAACAATGCCAGGAGACAATTGTTCAAGGCAATGGCCTTCTTTTGACGTGATGTCAACTTGTGTTCGCATGCCTCAGACAAGGCTGAACGGATTTTCTTCTTCGAATCAAATACATGTTGGTCTTTGTTAATGGCCACCGAATTGTTGCTAGCAACAGCAACTAATGCCGGATCCTTGGGCTTGTTTTTCAACACTTCAGCATAAATGGCAGCTGCCTCCTTAGTTTTACTTTGCATTTGCAAGCAGTAGGCAATCTGGACACGAATAACATCCAATTCTTCACGGATTTCCTCCTCGGAGGCACCATCTTCCTCCAATGTCTCACGGCACAATTTCTCACTGGCACGCAATTTCTTCTCGGCCTCAGCATACTTTTGACGGTTAGACAAAATACAAGACCCATTGAAATGTTGTTCATAGGTATCTTCCGGTATATCGGGAATGTCTTTAGTTTCATCCAGAGCCAAATTGGCGGCAACAGCACTCAGGTTAGTACGCCGTTCATCCTCGTAATCATCACTGGTATTCTTAATGATTTCCTTGTACGATTCGAAACATTCTTCGTAACGCTCCAGGCGATAGAGAACTTGAGTACGCAATTCCTTGAGATTTGGTGGTAACGATGGTAGACGGGCCTCGTCAATAATTTTCAAAGCATTTTCAGGTTTATTCAAGCGATATTCACAATAGGCTTTTTCGAAAATCAATGACGATGAAAGCTTGTTTTTGTCAATAAACTTGACGGCCTCCTCAAATTTGGAGATTTGTATCAAACAAATGACTTTGCAGTGTAAGGCTGTCTGATCGTCGGGTGCAACACCGAGTACTGTAAGTAAGAGTAAAATGGAATTTTATTATAAATTAGATAAATAAAAATATACGTGTACAGTGGGGTGCGTCAATATGTTCGATTACTTCATTAATAAAAAATGACTCTCCTTGGCTTACAAATTAACTGTGGCTATAAATTCATTAGCATCGTTGTATATTGAGCCCCATCACTTTGGGGCAAACTTTTTTTTTTGACAAAAAACGAGTTATACCGAAGACTGAATTTTGGAGCCATGGTTCCAATTAGAATTTATGTATGTTTGCAATTGTAAAATCGCTTTAGTTATATTAGTTCATCCATATGTGCACGCGTAGAAGAGATTCCGAAGCTTGTTTCCCCATCAATTCCTGGTCTCATGGACTTTTATTCAACTCACTTCTATTGACAGCCTTCATAGCCTTATCGAACTCTCCATTTTGTCCGAACTTATTTACATCAGCATATGCAGCTTTGATGATGGATTCCTTGGGATTTGCATCTTTAGACATTTTCAATGTCTATTTCACTTGCACTTTTCTTTATTATTTTTTTTAAATTATTTCAATTAAATTAAAAAAATCATGCAGCACTTTCGCTTCGTAAGGTGCAGTCGTGTTTCGTGGCAGTGCGATTTGCTGTCAAAAAACTACAGGGTAACACATTGTCTTTATATTTTTGAACTGACATACGTTTCATATATATATTAAGGGTTATTTAGACTAAAGGTAATATCTCCATGTGATAAATTAAAAAAATAAACACGTTGTTAAGCGGTGTACACAAAAAAAAATCAGTCGGTATATTTTAATCCCTTGTAAAACGAGTGACAAATTGGGCTTGGACTTCTTTATAATGAGTCGCGGCATTTATATATCAAAAATGGACTATGTAGAAAATGGTTTGCGATAACGTTCAGAACAAAGTGGAAACCTTTAACATATATGTAATGAAACTTTGTACAGTGTTTTGGTTCGTACTTGTTAGCAGACCTCGAATATCTTTTACCGCTTGTTCTGTCTCCCTTGGGTCTTCTGGGGAGCCTCTGCTGGGAACATTCCTTTTAATTCGAATATTCATCCTAAAGGGATATAGCGAGCCGTGATTCCTCTCAGTTACCTCAGAATTTGAGGACATGGTTAGCTCACTGCATCGGCAATCGGAAAACTTTGTAAAACCAAATCGGACACCTTCTTTGGAACAAGTCGGTTACTCTATTCGAGAGTTATTATGCACACCAGACGGACATTCATAAATCGACCCCATATTGTCTCAAATAGATTTGATCCAATGAATTTGTGTACCCTCCTTTCTATAGCTAATGAGGGTATATACACTCAGATAAAACAATAAACAAATATTGAAATTCTTAAACATTGACAATGCTTATTTTGAAATTTTGGTTTTTTTAAAATAGAATTCCAGTTATTGAAATTTTTTTTCTATAAATGTAAACATTTTTCGATCAATAAAAAAGCAGTTTTCATCAATTTTTACCGTTTTCAATTGGCACAGATGCACATAAAGTCCATACGTATTTGGTTAATACGGTCGTCTTACAAACTCTGTATAGGTGAGAAGGTGAGTATTTTTGTACACCGCGCATAATTGACAAACATAGGGTGCGAGATATCCAAACATTTTGATTTAAATGTTCAATTTAAATGGAAAAAATTCGCGAATCTGCAGACTATTTGATGAATCTTACTGAATGTTGTTTGTTTACTTTTCTCAGTATTAATACAGAAGAGAATAAAAACGGCTTACTCTCTGTTGTAACTTATACTATTGTCAACGTCATTTGACAGAAAAATGTAAACAAACAAACCAATTATATTTATTTTAAAAATGTAATATTTCGAATCCTCAAAGAAAATTAAAAACATCAAATTTATTGGTCTATTACAGTATTTTTTTAATAGTAAATCTAGTAAATGGGAAACATTTCAAAATTGCTCTCAGAGTACAAAATAATTTGAAAAGTTCGGGAACGCAAATCTAGTAAATATGCCAAAATTAGATGCCAATACTTCAAAATCAACATAACAGCCAATCAGAAGTAGGCATTCCTGTTTACCATTATTACTCGACCAAATTTCTCGAGTTAAAAGTTTTCAAAGTTATAATTGAGCCATTGCCACTTATAAGTGTTACACATATGAAAATGTAGAGAATTGCGAGTTATTCCATGAAGAAAGATTTGCTTCCTCAAACTTTCCCAGCTGACAGATTGAGTAAATTGGATACGGGATCATATTTGATATAGAACAATTTCAAATTGTATGCGTTTCCAATTTTCCTGTTAGGTGATTTTTAAAAACATAATTTGTCAAATTCATATTGACACTAGTGTTACGTTGGAATCAAATCAGCTGGGATTTGCTGTTACCTTTTATAATTGTACCATGGCAATCAGTGTGTTCTATCAAATGTTCTATCATATGTTATCATTTCACATAGCATGCAAACTGGGGAAAGAATAGGGATACGTAGGTCAGTAGTCACACGGGCAAATTTTGTGGTAAAGTAAATTGAGTTTATGGGCGAAAGAGGTGAGAGGAATAAAAGGGGGTACATACATACTTGTACTCCGCAATTCTCTTTTGTTTCGTTATTCGTTGTAAACAACTGAAGTTGGCTGCAGAAAAGTTTTGCATTTTCTTTCATTTTATTTTTTCTGTCTGCAAACAAACATCAAGGCAGTTATTAAAATTAAAACCTTTTGCGAGAAAAAAAACTACATAACAGGTCTTCATTCTATGGCTATAGCTTCTTCGAGTAATTCAAAACTTCCTTTTATAATTAAGTTTTTTTCTTTTAATTCCATTTTTTTAATTTTCATGAACAATGGTCAAACGAGAAAATGAGTGTGTGGAAGAATAAGAAAATTCATAAATTTAATGCAAGGGTTATTTGCGTGTCTAAACAACAATGCAATTTTTAAAGAAATTGAGAAGAAAATTTGTCATGAAATTTTGCACGTGTGACTACTGACTAGTCGAGCGCAAAAGTTGACAAATATGGGAAACAAACTATAGGGACTATTGAGAATTTCAACAAACAACAACATGCATGCATCAATTGTATCGGTAAAAATGGTCAGCGGTATTAGGAGACAGGCGCATGGTTTTGTATGATTTTAAAGACTGACTTTCCCTCTGACTAAAAAGTAGATTTTCAGACTTTTCGAATTTTGCCTTTAACTAAAAAGTCAACTTTTCGATCTTACGATTTTGTCAAACCTGTTCAAAATCGATTTTCGACTTTTACCAACTAAAGCAAAACTGACTAAAAATTTAATTTTTTATAAGAATTGTTGTCAACAGATGAAAATAAGTTCTGGAAAGTGTAATTTTTGACAATTTCCGCTTTGTGATAAAAAACCAAGTATTTATGAAGAAAATCGAAAGTTGATTTTGAAAAGTTGACTCAAGATGTATTATAAGGTCACCAAGGTAGCAATCAAAATCGAAAAATATCTGTTTTTCTCAAGTCTAATGTCAAAAATTTCGACTTTGATTACGTTTTCACAATGGGAGTCAATTCACAATAATGCATTTTGACAGCAAACTTGAGTGGCGCAGATATCCAGCTGGTCTCGCTGGGTGACCTTATTTATAGGCCATGAGTCGACTTTACGAATTTCTCATAGATCAAAAGTCGATTTCGACTTTTAGACTTTTCAATACAAAAAGTCGATTAATCGATTTTTGTTTTGTGTAAATTATGAAGGAAAAAAGTAGTTGTGTCCACGGTACAACTATTCAAGGTAGGCCATTGCATGGTACAATTATACAAGGTAGGGTAACTTTTGTCAGAAAGGAGAAAATACACATATACCTTATGGGCAATAATGTCAGAATAAAAACAATTGCAACTAGTCATTCTGTTCATTTGATATATTTTATTTTTAACAATTTACAAAAAACGCGAAAAATGAATGGAATGCCAGGTTTTCTTTTCAAAATCAAGTTGGGGATATGATTTACATGTTGATTCATTCACAAATCATACATTTCATACAATCAAGGTACATAGGGCAGCTTGAGGTGAATAACAAGAAAGCAACTATGCTTTTGTGGCCTCTTCTGCCAAAAATAAAATAAATATACGGAACAAGTGTTTGTGTTTATTTGACATTTTTTCAACACAAAACTAAAAACGCGAAAAATGAATGAAAGGTTATGATTTCTTCCCAAAATCCCGTAGGGAATACCATAAAATGTTTGTTCCATCCATAACAAAGTAATTACTTCCAGACGATCGTGTTAAATTTCAATTAAACTTGAATATATTTCAATTTATTTTGAATTTATTTGACATTGTATTCAACAAAACAATACACACACATACACAAAATATGTAGTTTGATTTGATGGAACAAGCCGCCTTGAGAAAAAATCAGTTGGTAGCTGTGCCCTACCTTGTAATAATTATACCATGCTTAGAATGTTGTAAAATTCATCTGTAAACAAATCGATTTTCGAATATATTTTGTTATATTTTTTAAAAACTTGCACACTCACAGTCACACATTTTGTATGTGACTTTGGCATAACAAGCCACAGTATGGAAAAATGTAATTTATAGGTTGCTATGGCCTACCTTGAATAATTGTACCATGGGTACATTAATGCAGAGGTCTACTTGCCACAAGTAAAATTGGGGCTGTTTAAGCAAGAATCGCTGTTTAAAATAGTTAAATAGTTAGCCTTTAATTTGAAAGGCCGTAGCCGTTGAAATCTGTCTACTCCCTTTTATTACACCCTTGTAATAGTATGAGGCTGACAGATTTCAACGGACTTTTGTTTACATTTTGAGTTTGCGCCACCTTTAGGCATCTTTGTGTCAACAACATTGTTATTAGTATTACTTGGTTAACTTTCGTCGTTACCGACTGGCCACGCACATATTGTTGTGATCGGGCTTAAATAGTAAGCCACCGTACATATTGTTGTACCATACAGGTAATATTGTTTACCAATAAATACTCGGCATTGGTCGAAACCTTTTATTCATAAACATATTGTGTTTTATTTCTGTTTCTTTTTTGGCTCACGAGTACGCATTGGACGTACTGACTCTATTGGGAGAATCATTGCACTGTACCTGCCAACCACCCAAGTCCCTATAGTGCGGACTTAACAGGGGCTATTATATCTATTAAATGGAAATCATTCAGAATCTATATAAATCATCGATTTTAAAACAGCGTTAAATTATTAAAATTAAAGAAGGTGCACGAACCTGATAAGTGCAATCAATTTAATTAATTTAATATAATATATTAATTTGAATATATTAAAAATATCTATACGTGTGATTTTCTGTATTGTAATTATGTTACCCTACTGAAGAAGTGGCAAAATTTTCCAATTTCACACTTGGTTTATTACTTATTATACTATTTAATTAAATCCAGTACGATGTAAACGAGAACGTAAACTCTCTTATTTTATAGTCCATCGAACAATGTTGGTCTGTTCCCGTACTGCAAGAATCTACGAGTTTTTACTATTTTTTCCGATATCATAAAGGAAAAAAGTGTTATTGTAGTAAAAAATGGTAGATTCTTGCAGTACGGGAACAGACCATGTGTTATCATGTTATAGTGAAGTGTCATTCAATAAACTAGTTCGTTCCGGAACTACAAACAGCTGAGATCAACTGCTCAAATTGTGATCAGCTGTTGGTTGGTCCTCTCGTTTGTTTTGATTCTCATTCGCCACGGTTGGTCCTCGTCTCGTTTGCTTTGACCTCAGGTTTACAGGGTTGTAATTAGCAAACTCTGAATGTGTGCTGAACTGAACACATATCACGCAGTTTTCTCAGAGTGACACCATTCGTAAACAAACCAGCTCCCATTTAGTCTCCATCCCACCTCCTTCGTAACTTTCCGTCTTCTTCTTTGACTTCTTCTTTACCGGGCATTTTGTCTTATCCCATCCCATTCGTAAAGGTGGAACGTTTTTCAATAAGTTTTCTCAGAGTGACAAAGGGGGTAATAACTTTTTTGTTTTGTGTAAATTATTGAGGAAAAAAGTAGAAATTGCGTTATAATTCTGGCAATTAAACGCATTGGGCGACGCTTAAAAACGTAACAAAACTAAAGAAATAAAAACCACAAAGAATTCCAAAGAAAATCAATTGTAAAATAAGAAAAAAGTGTTGGGTGGTATTACAAAATAAAATTAATTATTCTATAAGAAAAAAGTGTCATCACAAAGAATTGCATACAACAAAAACAAATGCAATACAATACTATTAGCAATGTGTAAAGAAATACAATAAAATTATTCATCCCGAAATAGAGAAGAGAAGCAAAATTGTGAAAGTGCCGCTGCTCGCTCTGTAGTCAGTGCAACGTGATAAACGGGAAGAAAAACGAAACGAATTCCCAGTTTTGAAAGTAATATTTCGTCCCCATCGCCCGCACTACCAACAGCGACTACCCATATCATCCATCGCATTGATTGGAGAAAACAAATATGCAGGTTTTCAAACGGCAGCAGCAGTCACATAGTCATTTGCATTTCTTTATAAAAGTTTTCATATACTGCGTCATTTGGTGGAGTGGCAATAATGTCGGTATGTAAAACAAGAAATATGTTATAGAACGCCCCTTCATTGCAAAAATATGTACTATTTGCATTGTAGGGCAAGTCATATGCTGATAATAATGTTCGTTTTGTTGTTGTTTATTTAGCGGATGCCAGCTTTGTGGAAATCCAGAGTTCCCCGTCGGCTTTAGTGGGTTCCACGGTTAATTTTACAGCTACACTTTACGATGAAAAGGGTAAAATTTCGCCAAAAGATGATTATCGTTATACATGGAGGGACGATGCCAATCCCCAACATAAAGGTGTAAGTTAAGAGATTTTTATTATTCATTAAAAAATGTTTCAATATTTAAATATGTTGGCGGAAGTAATTGTGATTCCTGTTTATTTAAAACTGAGAAGGAGGGTCGTGTGACAATTTGACAAAAAATTACAGTATCTTTGGGATATGATGGGATTTCCAATTGGATTTAATAGATTTTTATATACCTTATGTTAATTATTTTATTTGGCTGACCTATCTCACTAACATTTTGCACCGTGTCTTTAATACATATGTACATATTTAGAGAATGTATTTCAGAGGAGATTTTCTAAAATCAGACGAGCATTGGTAATACAGAACACCATTCGTACAGGCTTACCATACACACAGTAGGTCATGGACTCTAAAACACTGATAAGAAAATTACATTTTTATCGTTGCCTGAGCCCCTCAGAAATGTTGAATGTTGAGTGTTCAAGTCGGTAAAACTTCTCGAAAAATGCCGCTCGAAATCTTATTAGAAAATATGTAATGTTGGTAATTTTTTACATATTCTTCATATAGTCCTTGGTCCATTTTCCACCGAATTGAAAGATCAAACACTTTTTAGGGTTTCCATCATAAATGCTTGCTCCGAAATTTCGTTTTTTGTGCAGTTTTGACACGTTTTTAAATCAAATTGCTTGTAATTTAGTATTTCAAGTTCACATTGGGTAGAAAATTTTCCTAAGAAAAATTATTATTTTTGTGTCCTTTTTCAAGGTAGCCACCATTAAACGGAAAATTTTAGGGTATCCTCACACTCCATTGCTTGTAATTTAGTATTTCAAGTTCACATTGGGTAGAAAATCTTCCTAAGAAAAATTATTATTTTTGGGTCCTTTTTCAAGGTAGCCACCATTAAACGGAAAATTTTAGGGTATCCTCACCCTCCATATAGCAAATCTTCCTACCAACCAGATATCCCATTATCTTAATATTGGATTAACACATTTTCAAATATTTGGGGTTATAATTATATGAGGGCTAATGTCAATTTCGAACCGCATATTTTTGTTTTTGTGTCTCAATTCTTTCCTTCAGGAGGTATTATTATATGGGGGAGATGTCTGAATGATGGCCGACATATTTCATTATCGCCAGGTTCGAGTTTTTTTATCACGATTTCCTTAGAAAGCGGAATAATTATAAGCGTAGGCTAAATCGTCATAGAATTTCATAATTTGTTGGGTAAAACTAACTATTTCGTGTAACGTCTATCCCCTATACTATGGTAGAACACGCCTATATGGGGACAGCCCCTACACATGGAACTAATCAGCTATCTATTTTAATATAAGAAGGGGGCGAATATTAATAATTTTTGGTAGGAAGATTTGATGACTACAAAATACCAAATTACAACGAATTCGGTTGAAAAAGGCGCTCAAGAACCCCAAAATACCGAAAATTAGGGGGTGGCCTTTAATGGGGGCTACCCGAAAAATAGACCTATATCTGTAATTTTTAGTGAATAAATTTGGTACCCAATATGAACCCATTGTACCGAAATTCAGCGAATTCGGTTTAAAACGCTCTTAAACCCGCCAAAATATCGTAATTGTGGGGCTACAGTTATATGGGGGCTACCAGAAAAATTGGACCGATATTTATCATTTTTAGTGGAGACATTTGGTACCCAAAAATAAAAAAAAAATAAGAAACCCAAAATACCGAAATTTTGGGCTGCCCTTATATGGGAACTATGCCTAAACGTGGACCGATATATCCCATTGAATATAAGTATTTAGTTTCTTCTGAGACTTGAAGTGGATTTTGACGAAGAATATTTTATTCTTTGACATTATATACCTAAAATTAAGTTTCATTTACTTTAATGCACTTTGTCAAAAAATACTGGGAAATGTCTTTATATTATATATTCGGTATATACATTATATATGCAGATTTCTCTTGTTCAGTGACTTATGCTAAAAATTGATGGAGAATTAATTTGTCTCTTATACTATCCTTCTAAAACGACATCTTGTGGGAAAAATGTGTAAAAACTAGTAATAAGTACAATATTAACCCTTAAATCAGTTTTTGTCTTTTTAAGATTTTTGACGTTTAGGCTAATTTTTGAGTTTTAGTGTATTCTGAGACTTATAGTAAAACTTTATGGCGAACATTTCTGTAGAATATTCTGAGCAGCTTTAACCCCGTTTTGAATGAGTTTTCAATCACTCCTGGAAAAAGGGGCCGAAAAGACCCCTTTAATGAGTCGGTTGAGGGTTAAAGTTGCATACCAAAATATTCCTCGATATTTTATGAGTAATATTGCCGAAGGCACTATATACCTACAATGCAAGGATTTCAAGAAATCATAATTCGAAAATTATCAAAATTCTAGAAAAGGGGGAATATTGTCCCCCCTTTTTAGATTAACCCCCGACGTAAACCTTCAAACCCCCCATACACGTGTCTTCTTTTTTAGCCCCTCTTTCATAATCTGTTGAAATTTCCCGGTAATTATCAAAAAATTTCAAATTTGTCGCACAGTGTAATAATGTACCCTCCACACTATGGTGGAAGGTATAAAAAAGACTTTACGTCTGACAATTGCTCGAAAAATATTCTTAAAAAAAATCTTGAATTTTTTTATTCTTTGAAATAATAGATTTCCAAAAAAGGACCCCTATATTTGTCATAGTTGAATAAAATTGCTTATCAAATGCATGCATTTTAAAGAGATATTTTGAAAAATATTCTTAAAAATATACCAGCCTTTACGTCTGATAGTCGTTCGAAAAATATTCTTGGAATACTGACAATATTTACAAAAAATATTCCTAAAAATACACGGCCAAGTATTAAAAGTATTCTTAAAAATTCACGCATGTACTCTTCAATTTTTCTAAGATTTCATTTTTTAAATCAAACATTGCGTTCTTTCATTCCTCTAAGAAACAATTCTTAAACATACAAGTAGGCCTTCTAACAATATATATTTGTATCCGAACTATGGGACAATCCCATATTTAATTTTTTAAACTGTCAACATTCTACAAAAATCCATCACCCATCCATACTGATTTCCCAGAAATAAATCATGTATGTATATATTTTGGGTTTTTTTACTTTCTCCAGTATTGTCACACAACAAATTATTAACAGTAGCACCGGTTAACGTACGGCATTACTTTATTATGTATTTGTTTTTATTTTCTTTTGTTGATAAACAAATTGTGACTCATTATTCTCGTTTTATGGTTTTGTTCGAGCTAGTACTAATGCTGGTAACATTTGTTTTTGATAAGTAAATTGTGGTAGGGTTGTCGTTCGCGATATTTAAAAATATTTCCAATTTTGGTATATGTTCAAAGAATTGGAAATTTTATTTTTGGATGTCACTATTTATAGTATGATCCCGTACTCAAAAATTAATAAAACTTTTAAATGAGTAATTGAAAAAATTGGTATATTGAAGATTCTTGCATGTTCTGGAACAGATCCATTATAAATCCCATTTGCGTTTTATTTGATATTTTCAATAATATTCCAGATATAAATTTATTTCAAATCCAATATTTTTTATATTCATTTAAAACATATAAGTGGTACATACTTTCCAGTATTGTATGTATTTATGTGTATTCACCCGAAGAAAAGGAACAAGATGAAAATGATGAAGAACCACAAATTTAACTGAATGTTTTTATGTTATACTATATAATTTTAAAATCCTAGTTCTAACACTATTCAGTTTTATTAAAAATAAGACAAGGTTTGGCCAGCCTTGAAAAAAGTGAGCTATATATGTAATCCATTTCTTAATTTATTACCTTGCCTAAAATTCGCAGACTGTTTTAGATTAATTAAATATATTGTGTGTAGATTGAACTGTGCTTTACTTTTGTTTTTGTTACTTAATAACTGCGTTAAAAATGTAACGTTGTTAAATACTTATTCTATTACAAGCATTTTCCTAAAAATCTCAAATGACTATTTGGTTCGAATGCCTCCATATGATCTCGAAAGGACTAATGGTCTTCTAGTGTTTATTTGGTTCAAATGTCTACATATAGCTCAGGATACCCAATAAAATGCAGTGATTATTTGGTTCAAACGTCACCATATAAACTTAAAAGATCTAATCTTTTTCTAGTGATTATTTGGTTCAAATGTCTACATATAGCTCAGGAAACCCAATATAATGTAGTGATTATTTGGTATACACGTCATCACATAATCTCAAAAGATATAATCTTTTTCTAGTGACTATTTGGTTCAAATGTCACCATATAGTCCCAAAAGAACTACTTAGTCAATATAGTCAAGGTCTACTGGTACTTCTCCTATGACAAGCCTATGTTAAATGTCCATAGGAAATTACATTGGTTGTGGTATACTTTTTCACTAGTACTAGCGACAATGTCACCAGTAAAACACTACAATTTTACTAAAGCTGCTCGCTGCAGGGCAGGTTATTCGAAACCTAAGTTACTTTTTTATTACTTTCAATATTATTTGTTTATTTAAAAAATATCCAGTTCAAATATTTGAACACAATATGCTGTCCATATTGTTACAGAATATAAGGTTTACATATTAACTGATATATTTTTGTTTATCCAAAACAAGAAAAGATACGATTTTATTTAAATATTTAATTTAAATGTGACAATATACAGGCATGTGGATATGATTGTAAAAAAATGAAAACAAAATGTTATTGAACTGTCCTCAAAACGTTTACACAGTCGCAGACAGATAACGAAGACTTATCTTTTCTTCTCCAAAAACGTTTTACGCATTTGCTTTTCACTTTTGCTTAATATCTTTATTGACATACATTTATATTGAATTAAAGTATTAATTTTTTTACGATAAAGATTTTATATGTCTGAAAAAAATTTAGGGAATTGGTCGTTTAATGCAATTTGAATCGCTATTAATATAAAAAAAAAAAATCTTTAATAAAACGTAGTATTTGCAAATTTGGTTCTGATATTCGTAACAAATATTATTAGAAAATAAACACTTGCAATAGTCTTTTAAAAATATACTTAAAAATCAACGCTTAGCTCTAAAAGATTATAGAAAGATATACCTAAAAACATGTCTTCCATTCTGATAGTCTTTCGAAAAATATTCTTGTATAATAAACACCTCTAAAAAGTATATTTAAAAACTCAATACTTAGCTCTGATCGTTTTTAGAAATTTATTCCCAAAAAAATCCATATCTTCAATTCTGATAGTTTTTCGAAAAATATTCTAAAAAATCCACGACTTTGTTCTGATAGCGAGTTGTTAGTCTCCTACCGGGCGTGTCCCCACTTGGCGGATAGGGGGGAGGTGGATGATCCTACTAATCTATTACAACCAGTGTATGCTGTAGGTAATGGAATAGTTTGATCACTCACTGACAAGATGATAGAGGTGGTGAGTAAGGATATCGCCAAACTCACAACCAGGAAGAAGCAGTTGTCTGGGGCACAAATGTGGAAGTAGGTCAGAATGAACCGGATAAACAAAAAGGGCGAGATGCAGACAGAGGCTCAAATGGATAAGCTTGACCTTCACTCCACTTCTGCGGAAGTGCCAAACAGGATAAGGTCTCCGGATGTGCAGACGACTGTCAAATCTGTCAAAAAGAAAAAGAGCAGAGAGAAAGCTGAGTCAATCTAACGTCAAAGGAGACTGCCACGAGAATACACTGACGAAGGCAAACGAAGCTGGCACTAATATCAGGAAGACGAGTGCTGAGTCGGAATCTTCCGCAAAGACCGGGAATCCCAAAAGGACCAACCGGTATTTGCGAAAGGGGAAGATGACAGCAACAGATGCTAAGTAGTCGGTATCTTCGGCAAAGACCGGGAATCCCAAAAAGACCAAGCTGTATTTGCGAAAGAGGAAGATGACAGCAACGGATGTTAAGGAGCCGCCGTCTTATGCCAAATTTGCCAGGAAACGCTATCGAGACGAGCTCTGCTATGCAGTGATCGACGGGAATAGCGCGTCCGGTAAGCTAAAAAGGGGGACCCACAAGGAAGTGTTAAATGCGGTCAACAGCAAGATTATGGAGTACCTACGACAAGGAGGGGGCTCTATTGACTTGGATAGCTACGCTTTCAATGGGGAATATCTAATGCTGGAATTTGAAACTCCAAAAGCCATAGAAGCCCTGAGGAAGCTAGTGGCAAGCATTGGTCCCATGGAACAATGAAACTCAGGCTGTTGAGGAAAAAAATACAATCCTCAACTACAAAAGGCTACAGTCTTTGTCAGAGGTTACTTCCTCCTCAAAATGGACAGAATTTTTGCTGAAAGACCATTTTATAATATATGAATGGGCTATCCGATTTAAAACAAACTTTACACATCGTAATATTTCAACCATCGATCCAATCCTTCTAGTACCTCCCCCACAAAAGGTCAACATTTTCAATATTTATAAATCCAACATTAGGCTAATGGAATGTCCGATTTGATCCTAACTGTGCACATCTTAACATTTCTTTAAATCTCAAATGGAGTTTAAAAATGGGTAAAATCGGTCCACTCCCCCAATAAAATGGTCAAAATTGTGCTGAAAATGCATTTTTTTAATATTTTGCGAACAGAGCATTCGATTCAAAACAAACTTTGAACAATCTAATATTTTAACCATACCTGTATATTGTTGGGAGATGGGATTTATCGGTCCATTCAGTACCTCCCTCTGAAAGGGTTACAATTTTGAAAAGTTCTAAATATTATATGTAGCGAACGGAATATACAATTCCATCCAAACCCGTTAGTCTACCACTTCTCGTACCTCTCCCACAAGGGGGTCAAAAATTTCGAAAATGCCAGGTTTGATCGAAACTTTGCAAATCATAATATTTTTTCCAAACCTACATTAAATTCTTTTATGGGGTTTATAGGGCAATCTCTTCTTTGAACGAAAAAAATTTTTTTTCCGTTGACCTCCGCAAACCATAGGCTGAGGGTATATATCTGTTGGCAACACCGACTGGCACTTTTTTACTTTTTAATTCGACAATTGTTGCTCTTTAAATCCGATATAAAATATTCTTTTAAAATCCAAGCTTATAACTCTTCAGATCCTTAATGAAATATTCTTTCAAAATCATCAGTTCAGATTCTCTAAGAAATAATTATATGTTTACCCTCTTTGTACCTCTTCGGATTCTTTACGATCCTTTACCTCTTCAGATCCTTACGCTTTTAGTTCTTCAAACATGTTTTCCTCAGTATCTCCTCAGATCCTAAAAAATAATTTTTACAAGTCCATGATTGAAGCTCCTAATACATATTCTTTAAAAATTCAACTTTGTAGCTCCTAAGATTCTTTAAGTAAACTTCCTCCTCTTCCACAACACAAAATCTCATAATTTTTGTTTTTCTTCTTCCAGCAATTTGTATCAACATTCCCCACAAACACCTGGTCCATAGAATATCCCAAAAATAAAACACGCTATGGCAAATATCATGTAACCGTTGAAGTGGAAAAGAAAATATGGTTTTGGTATACCTTAGCCACGGCAACGGTGGCTATCGAAGTAACCGATACATTGGGTGGACAGCTGCAGTTGATACAAGACGGAAGGGAACGGACCACACAATATGTTTCCACAAAGGGTTTGGTTAATCACACCATTGATTTGCCCATAGAAGAGCGGACATATCTGATGGAGAATGCAACCTATATACAGACATATTGGTTTCAGAATTGCACCTATCTTGGTGTGTCCGATGGTCTACATTATCAGGCAGAATATAAAGATCCTGAACAATATTATGATATTGAAGCTTTGGTGGTGGTGTCATTTGAAAAATTACCCGATCCAGTAACTACGACGACTACAACAACTACCACGACGACCACTACAACAACAACTACCACTACGACGACAACAACACCGAAACCTACAACACCCACCACCACAACGAGTACCACAACCACAACGAGTACACCCAAACCTGCAACTAAGACGAAAAGGGATATCTCCTCTGCAGAAGCTTCCAAAGAAATTGCTCAAATGGCCCATGCTAATGCAGCATTGTTGGGTTTAAATCTCACCGCCGCATTGCAGCAAGAAAACAAAAATCACAATCCCCTGAATGTGTCGGCTGCCTTGATCAATCCCAAATTGATGTCCAGTTCGAATAGAAAAATTCAATACTACAATCTTTTACCCAAGACGACATATGGCACCGATGAAGAACCACCTTTCAATTGTGTCAATAAATCCATTGTTGCCAAGGATCCAATGAAGGTGTATGGCTATTATCGTCGGCAAATTATAACGAAATGTAAGTTTGACTTGGCATTTTTTTTAATTTGTGTTTTTTTATTTTTCTTTTTAATAATAAAACCAATTCTTATTTATAGCACCCATTAGCAACGTTTCGGTTAGTGGCCAAAATTGGCTGCAACACGGTGACCTATTGAATTTGGAAATAAAATGTAAAGGATCTTCGAAAGTTCAGTATTGTGTGCTAGTTTTCGATGGTAAGTAAACGATTCACATAAAATCGGTTCATCAGATGGTTCTGATTGGCCCTTACCTTCGAGATAATGGTGGATGCAACCTACATGCAGACATATTGGTGCATACCTTACCTCTGAGATAATGGTCCTGACGGGCTCTTAGGGTCAGCCCTTATCTCAAAGATTATGATTCTGATTGACTTATCGCTTAGATAACAGCTCTGATGAGGTGGAATTAGAGCTGTTATCTAAGTGATAAGCCGCAGAGATACTGCTGCCTGACCTTTTTCTTTGAGATAGTAGTCCTGACTGGCTCTTATCTCCTAGGTAATGATCATGACTGGCTTGTATCTCTTAGATAATGGCTCTGATTGGACCTTGTCTCAGAGACAATGTCCCTGACTGGCATTTTCTTTGATGTAAAGGTCGTTGCAAGATCTTGTCTCAAAGATAATGGTCCTGACTGGCCCTTATCGCACAGATAATTGTTCTGAATGGGCCTTATCTTCGAGATAATTGACCTGACTGGGCCTTATCTCCGAGATAATTGTCCTGACTGGGCCTTATCTCCAAGATAATGGTTAAAACTGGGCCTTATCTCCGAGTTAATGACCCTGACTTGTTCTTATTACCGAGATAATGACTCTGACTGGTCTTATCTTCGAGATAATGGTCCTGACTGACCCTTATCTCCGAGATAATGATCCTTATCTCAGAGTTAATTGTCCTGATGGTCCACTACCTTCAGAATAAACGTGACTGGCTCATATCTCAGAGATAATGATCCTGACTGGGTCTTATCTCCGAGATAATAGTCCTGACTGGCTCTTATCTCCTAGATAATGGTCCCGACTGGCTTGTATCTCTTAGATTATGCCCCTGATTGGCATTTTCTTTGATCTAAATGTCGTTGCAAGATCTTGTCTCAGAGATAATGGTCCTGACTGGCCCTTATCGCAGAGATAATTGCCCTGACTGGGCCTTATCTCCGAGATAATGGTCCTGACTGGCCCTTATCTCGGAGATAATGGTCCTGACTTGCCCTTATATCGGAGACTGACTCTTATCTCGTAGGTAATGGTTCTGACTGTTCTTTATCTCAGAGATAATGGACCTGACTGGCCCTTATCTTAGAGATAATGGACCTGACTGGCCCTTATCTTAGAGATAATGGACCTGACTGGCCCGTATCTCTGAGATAATGGTCCTGACTGATCCTGATCTTATCTACGAGTCAATGGTCCTAAATGATCTATTTTTTCTTCTCCTAACTTTTTCCAGCTCCCTATAATGCCACAGGAAATGAAACATGCAAATTTTATTATGACGCTGATAATTGTGAATTTAAATTTTATCGCTATTATGGCGAAAGTAAAACCCTGCTGTTCTTTATAAAGAATGATGTTTCGGAAACTGTTAATCAGTTTACATTTAACCTCTACGAAGGTAGGTTCATACATTTTTATTTTCTCTAAATAAAAAAATAACTTTAAATTAAATGCATTATTTTAGCCAAAAAACAATCCCAATTATCGGTGGTCGTTGTACCTGTATCCTTTACATTAGTTGCTATAATTCTGGTAGTATTTGGTGTTTCATATTATTTACAGAGTCGAAATCGGTAAGTTGTGTTGATACAAAAAGACAATGATTCAAAACTAAATCCTAATTTTTTTTGTGGTGAATTTTAGCTTTAATGTTGAAGTGGCCGATTTTAATTTCGGTGAAACACAATCTGTCGATATGGAATACAAGACATTCCAACAGCGTCTAATCGATAGCATACGTGATGTGTTGCCATCACGACGACGTTTCTCTAATTCCAGTTCAGATTTAGGACCAGAACCTGATAGTCCTGGCGTGGGTATTGATAGTAATTTGCGTTATAATACAATGAATTAAAAATCATTTAAAAACAATAATGAATAACAATAAAAAGGAGATCTTTTAAACCAACCACAAGATATTCCTTATATTGAATTGTTAAAAAAAGTAACACATATTTACAGCAATGAAAAAAAAAACAAATATTTAAGAAACAAACAAACAAAATCGTATATATTTATATATGTCAACAAACGAATGCAAACACATAATACGCAAATGTTTTATACACACACATGATTATTTTTTTTAATATTATAAATTTATTATTATTTTTCTTTTTTGTTAAAGTATTTTTTTTCTATTTTTATAACTAATTATTATAACGTATATATTTTTGTAAATTGTATTTAGATAGTAATCGTTTTACATTTATCTCTTTATATATACATTTTATCTCTTTATATTTTCAATATCATTCGTATTCAATTGTTTGGTAATTGTCTGTCTGTGTTATGTTTTTAAACCAAAAAAAAAAGAAAAAAATATTACAGTTGGTTTAGAGTATTGAGGTAGATTTTGTGCAAATTATATTCATATGTACTAAAATTTGTTATTGTGTATAATTTGAGATTTAATTCTGTAGCTTCAGTTTTAAAACATTGCGTCAATTTGTTAAAACAAAACTGGAATCCCAGGAAAATTAATTTATGTCCACAACTTGTACATAAATGTTTCCATTCCCATTTTTTCCCTTAACCAACGTTTCAATTTCCTTATCCGTCCAAAAGGTAAACTTTTATCCAACCCTGAAATCCAAAGAAATGTCAACACTATTTTCTTGAATAAATCGAATATATTATAAAGCCCGATTAAAATGTATAGATTATACTGACTGGCCTTTATATGTGAGATAATGGTCAGGATTGACTCTTATCTCCGAGACAATGGTCCTGACTGGCCCTTATCACGGTAATAATGGACTTGACTGGCACTTATATCTGAGATAAAGGTTCTAAATGGGTCTTATCTCCGAGATAATGGTCTTGATTGCCGTTATCTTGCAGGTTAATGATTCGGACTGGTCTTTATCTCCGAAATAATGGTCCTGACTGGGTATTGTCTCCGAGATAATAGTCCTTACCGGTCCCTATCGCCGAGATAATGGTCCTTACCGGCCCCTTATTTCCGAGATAATGGTCCTTATCGGCCCTTATCTCCGAGATAATAGTCCTTACCGGCCCTTATCTTCGAGATAATGGTTCTTACCGGCCTTTATCTTCGAGATAATGGTTCTTACCGACCTTTATCTTCGAGATAATGGTCTTTATTATCCTTATCTCCTTATCATTATAATGACTGGTCTTTATCTCCGAAATAATGGTCCTGACTGGCCATTATTATTAAAATAATGATCCTGACTGGACCTTATCTCCGAGATAATGGTCTTGACTGAAGGTGTTCTACGTTGGGTACTTATTTTTGTTATTTTATTATGTTATCTATATTTTCTCAACCTCAAACTAATGGAACCAACTCCTCTCAATAGAACCAACTGTATATAAAATTCATTATGTCCCCAAAAATATGTTTTTGTATACATTTGAAAAACTAATATACATTTGGATAACAAAAATCATTATTCGTAAGCCGTCGTTCTCATTGGTGGCCAAAACAAAACATAAAACATAACCTAGAATTGTTATAGAACAAAAACGTATTTTTCTGTTTAGTCTATTAAAATAAAGCACTAAAACAAATATACAAATTGATACTCTTATAAAAAACAAAACGATTGAAGCGAGCGAAAAAAATTTAAACAAAAGACACAAATTAATCTCAACAAACTAAAAAAACAACAAATTATATGAAAATAACATTACTATTATGAAAAATAAAAAAAAGACTGTCTTTGTTCTATATAGAAAAAAAATAAACATGGAAAACAAGAAACCAACTAATAAATAAATTAACTTAATGCGAAATGGAAACCAAACAAATGCTATCTCAAAATTTATAAATTCATTTTTATTACTATTATTATCAATAATATAAAATACAACATTAATAAACAAATTTATATTAACATTCATTTCATTATCGATCAACCATAATTCCATCCATCCATTACCATCATGTTCCATTTTAATAATTTAATATACCTTACATATAAATACATATATTTGTTCTCATTTGTGCAAGTGATTTATGTTAACCGCAACAACACAACAACAAGAAGAAGAATAACAAACACAAACCCCAATCTGGATTTTTAGCTTTAAATTCATGTCTCGACAAAGAAACAAAAAAATAATATGAAAAACATACAATTACTCTCTTATATGTATTTAGTTTATAGTGTATATATATTTATCCATGCCTAATTATATATATAATTTGAAATTATATATTATTTAAATAACGAACATAAACAAAAAAACAACACAGAAAAAAAACAAAAAATAATAAAGTATTTCATTATTAAAAAAAAACTGAAAATTCTTTTTATTTCGAAATGAAAAATATGGTAGTAGTATTCAAATATTGTTCACTAAATTATTCAATGGACCTGATGACCGGTCATGTGGAAAATTAAATGATCCTGGGAAACCGTTATAATAAAAAGAAAGCTCCATGATGAAATGTGCCCTTATCTCCGAGGTAATGATAGTGACTAGCCCTTATCTCGGAGATAATGGTTCTGACTGGCCTTATCTCGGAGATAACGGTCCTGAGTAGCCCTTATCTCGGAGATAATGGTCCTGACTGGCCTTATCTCGGAGATAATGGTCCTGACTGGCCATTATATCGGAGATAATGGACCCAGCTGGCCCTTATCTCGGAAATAATGGTCCCAGCTGGCCCTTACCTTCAAGATAATGGGACTGACTGACCTTTATATACGAGATAATGGTCCTGACTGGCCCTTATCTCCAAGATAATGGTCCTGACTGGCCCTTATCTCCAAGATAATGATCCTGACTGACCCTTATCTCCAAGATAACAATCATAACATGTACTTATCTTAGATATAATAGTCCTGACTGGCCGTTATCTTCGAAATAAACGTTCTTACTGGCCCTTATCACCGAGATAGTGGTCTTGAATGGTCTTTACCTCCGATGTAATGATCCTTACTGGTTCTTATCTCTGAGCTTTTACTTACCTTGTCCATGTACTAAGATTTTTTAGTAAATAAAACTAACTTCTTTTTTTGATTATTGAGTTTTTTTATTTAAAATGTATTTTCTTTCAGTTGTTTGTTTTTGTTGTTGTTGCTGTTTTGTTATCTTTATTATACTGTTTTTCAAATTTTGTTCCATGGGACGACATAAAATATTATTGATGTTTTATTTTTTGGTATGGTATGTATGTATATAGTTAATGTGTGAGTTTCCTATATATATTTGTTATTTTTTTTTTTCTTTGAAACAATTTTACTATTTTTTGTTTGGTTGGTTGGGGGAAGGGGGGTTTTAATTATTTATGTCTTTTCTTTTTTGTTCCTTTTTTTAAATAATAAACTTATGATATTACAGTTTAATTATTATCTCATCATCCATTGTTATCATAAATGGTTCATAAAATACATTTTGAAAATAAATAAAATAATAGTTTTTTATTAGTTTGTTGTTGTGGTTTTTTTTTGTGTTTCACTTGATAATAAATGCATTCAGAGAAGATTTTTTTATTTCGGAAATGAATTGACAAATAATGATAATTATAATGTTTTTTGTTTTTGTATTTTTAATATAAATTATTAAGTCCATATTTTTGTTGTAATAATTTTGTTTTGTAATTAAAACTTTTGTTTTTCACTATAAGTTTTGTTTTTTTTTTTTGTAAATATAATTTTGTTTTTGTCAGTTTCGTAATTGTAATAATTTGTTGTTCCAAATAATTGTTATTATTAAATATTTGTTGTTGTTTTTATTATATAAGATAATATGTATATATTGTTATGTATTTATAAATCACTAGCAATTGATATTTTTTCTCATTGTTTTTTTTAATATTTATATTTTAAAAATTTTCTTTTCATATTTTTTGTTGGGGAAGGGAGAGATATTATATTATAATTATTTTTTCAATCTTAAAATAATTGATTTTTTATTAAACAATTTAGAAACTCATTGGATATTAATACAAAAATTTTGAAATATTAGAAAAAATTAAAGACTTCAAGTCCGTTTCAATTTCTATGCCCTTCAATTATACGATGTGGGATATACGAATTGCTAAATAAATCCATTTAAAAATGTTAAAACAATGTATATCCCAGCAAACATATTTATGTCACAATTACATACATTGATTTTTTTTACTCATAATTTTTGTGGCATAAAATACATTTAAAAAAAAAAACCTTCAAAAAAAAAAAAAAATCAAAAAAAATTGTTTTTCGATTTTTTTTAAATATTTTTTATCTGAAAATTTTTTGTTTTTAAAAAAATGAAATATTAATTAATTTACTTTTAAAAGTGAATACAATTTTCAGTGATAATTTGATTATTATCGCTAAATCGTTGGAAAAATTTGCTACAAATCTTTAAAATACCGAAAAAATATTTTTTCCTGATTTTTTTTTAATATTTTTTATCTGAAAATTTTTTTGTTTATAAAAAATTGAAATATAAATTAATTTACTTTTAAAAGTTAAAAAAATTTTCGAAATAATTTAGAATACCAAATAATGTACCGATATTTATAATTTATAGTGAGAAGATCTCTTAACTAATGCGAATTCATAATACCAAATTACATCCAGAATAATAGGGCCACGATTATATAAGGGCTATCCCGAAACTTTGGATGATATTGATAATTTTTGGTAGGACGATTTCCCTTCTAATGGTAATCAAAAATATTGCTCAAAATATCCGAAATATCGAATATTGAGGGTACCCTTATATGAGGCCTACCCTGAAACTAGGGCCAATACGGATCATTTTTGGTAGGAAGATTTCCAATCCGATGAGAATCCAAAATATATAATTACATCCAATTCGGTTGAAAAACGTTTGCAAAATCTCCAAAATACCGAATATTGGGGGTACCCTTATATGGGGGGCTACCATGAAACTT